TCCTGGCCCCGAGCTTCATCGTTGCGATCATCACGCTGCAACGTCGGACTTTTTTCCTTTTTTCTTTTTTTTTTTCCCTGGTTCTCTCTTTTCCGCCCCCTTGTCACCCCTCGGGACGCGACCGAAGGCTTCAACTCCCGTCCTTCCGAAATCCCGTTGGGTTCCGGTCCCCTCCTTAGCAAAAGGGAGAGGAAACAAAGGAGAAGTAGGTGGTATGAATGGGACCTTCCACCTGGTTGCTTGATCACGAGGCTGAATGCTGAGCACACTTCTCCTTCTCGCAGCCCAAGGGAGCGGATCGGGAACTTCGTCCCCAAGAAAAGAAAGAGGAAGCCGGCGGCGTTCCTAGTGGGACCAGAGGCAGAAGACTCGCCTTCACCTTGTAGACGGAGAATGAGCTTTCAACGCTTGCGTCTTTGCTCTGACTCTAGGAGGGCAACGAGAGCCGACATGGCGGATGATCAGAGCCTTTTCCTCTTCCCCGGCCATCCCTCTCTCTCTCTCTCTCTCTCTCTCTCTATCAAAAGGACCTACTGGATTTGTGGTGTTGTTTTGTTGAGTCGTCATCTTCACTGTCAACCTATATCAGAATCCATCCATCGATATCTCGTCGTATATATCGCCAATTCTCCTTTGTGTAGTTGAGATTCTCCGTCGACGCGAGCGTTGAAACGAGGCAACCCTCCAGCTAGCTAGCTTCTTCCCTTGCTCCTCTTCCTCCTCACCTTCCACCACCATCGCTCTTACCTGCCCTCGCCCAGGCACCCGAGCGCCGGGAAGGAGTCGAGAAGGGGAATGTAGCATCCGCCCCGGGCGGGGGTGGATTAGGCAGGTTGGGGGTGGTATAGGAGGTAGGGGATGTCTTCCTTTCTCCTGGGTCGCTCGCAAAAGAACCGGGATGGAGGGAAAGCGAAAAGAGAGAGAGGGGACTTCTTGGTTAATCCCTCGTGCTTCTCTCTTGTTCTCCATCTTTCCCTCCCGTGGTCCCATTCCTTTGACCTGGTTCCTGGTTTTCCGTTCACAAGACCCTCTGTTCCTCGCTCTCTTTCTCTCTTCGATGCTCATTATTTTCACGGAGAATTTTTTTCGCTGTTACACTGCAACATTGTGACACTGCGATACTGCTACACAACTGCTACACTACTACGCTATGAACCCTGGGAGAGAGGGGTGTAGACCGAACTCGAGGCAGAGAGGGGCAACTGAAGAGAGAGGTAATAGAGAGAGGCGATTAGAGAAAGAGGACAAAGAAGAGCATTCTGAGCGCCATTCGCCTGTTCAGTGGATGGTCCTTAAGGAGGCAGAGGTACAAGTTTGGGCGAGAGGAAAAGAAAAAAAAAGAAAAATAGAAGAAGAAAAAGGGTCGAGCGTAGTGAGAGGCCAATGACACGCTCACGTAGTTTGGTAGCCTACCATTTCCACACGCCATCTTCTGTTCAAACCTCCCCGTTTTGGACCCGAACTAGACATAATCGCGGAATGAACTTCGGGGAGAAAAAGATCGAAAAGAGCGGGATAGAAGATCAAGTATCAATGATAGCACTAACGAGCTCGGTACCACATGCCTAGCGTTTTTTCCTATTTTCTTCTTTAGGGAGTTTGCCCCGGGGTGAGGCAAGATGAACCGGGGTCGAGATGGTTCCGCTCAAGGAAAGAGAGATGGAAATGGCAATTGGTGCGAAGCGGGCCATTTTCAAAAGAAGAAGGTATCGGGATACAGGTCCTTGGTCATAAATTACGAATATGAGCTATCTGCGGTCGGAATATAAGGTTCTTGTTATTGTTATGATAACGTTACAAAAGAAGGAGCAGCACTAAGAGACCGAGAGAGAGAAACCGAGAGCAAAATGGTAGAAAGGGCGAAGAAAGGGGAACATAGGAAAAGAAAAAGGAAGAAAGGAAGTCAGAGGATCTTGCTTGCTGTTCGCTTACATCCTTTCCCACACTTTTTCAAGCCGTGAAAGGCGGTAGACGTGAGAGAGGAGAAAAGATAGCAAAAGAGGAACAGAGGGCATGCACTTAACGCCTTGGGCCTTTTTGCCTTGCCTACTTACTACCTCTTCCTGCTTGTTCATCTCCGAGCACTTCCTCGCCCGGATTCCCTTTGTCCCTCTCGCCTTCTCTCATCGTTTATCAACCGCCCTCTCCACCACTGCGACCCTTCCCCCAAGCATTTGCCTTCTGTGCCCACGTTCTTTCGCGGATGTGGCGCCCGCCGAGGTGTGGAAATGGGTAGGAACATTGGCATGGGCACACGTGCGCGCCAGCCCTCCTCCTCCCCTCATGATCACGAACCGTGGCGTGGCCGAGCGATTGCCCAATGAAACGAAACCAACCCGGCTATCCCCCTTTTGCCTCTCCTCGCCCCGACCTTTTCTCGTCGCTCATCAATGGTTCTCTGGAACGAAGGGAGTGAGAGTGCGGAACCGATAAAGAGAACTCACGGGAAAGGGTGGGGAGGGAGCGGAAAAAGGGAAAACCCGGTCCATTCAGACCCAGGACAGGCAGCCCTTGAGGGATCTATGTCGTCTTTGCCCAAGATCCGAGTTCTTGCTAGTATCTTGGAACTCTACACGCCACCCACCCACACTCACACCCACCCACCGATTCCGAGGGGGCCTCTTTTCCTTGGGTACCTTTGGTTCGCTTACCATGGTGGCAAGGCCGTATGTGTAAGTAGGTCCCCTAAGATCCTGAGGTGGAAGAGCAGAAAGGGAAAGAGAGGAAGAAAAAGTTGGTAAAGGTGGAGGGGATGGGAGAAGGCGGGGAGAGGGGGAGGAGGGGGGCGGGGCGTGTGCTGGCATGGCATGGCATGGCATTGGTACCGAGAAGACTGAATGTCTTTCGTCGAAACCTTCTCTATTGTATTGTCCTTTTGCGGTTCTTTCTTGGACGGTCTCCTTTCTCGCGCTTCCTTGCATATGTGTGTGTCTATGACTGACTAACTACAACTCCATCGCGGCGCAGAGCGCACCAAGAGATCCAAGAGCCAAGGGACCAACTTCAATGAAGAGGGTACGCTGCCCTCCCCTTTACCAGCCAGGCCGAACAATGAGAAACTAAACTGCATGATGAGGCCCAGGGGAGGGACGTATGCAGCACACGTACCGCCCTCTTCTGAAGAGATATGCGAATATAATAAACGAATGAAAGAAAAAAACGGTGAAAAGAGAGGGGGAGAGAGGGGGTAGGGGGTACAGCAGTCTTTTTCTGAGGCAGAGAAGGAAAGATCGAGATAGGGAAACATGGAGAGAAAGAGACAGAATCAAAGGCAGATGGGGGCAGGGAGATGGAGAAAGAGACAAGGGCGAGTGAGGGATGAGCGAGAGGGGAGGCGGGTCAAAAGATGTGGAGAGGCCGAGAGACTTGGGGGATGCAGCGAATGCATTGCGACGACGCTGGTAGCTGTGTAATAAAGCTGCGTCCCGGATATCTGGAACCCGCAGGCAATATTCCCGATACAACTCATGTACAAGTAGATGAAGAAAAAGAAAGGTCAAGGCAGAGAGGACTCTTAAAACGCCAGTGAAAAAGAAAAAAGGAAAAAAAAAAAAAAAAGGGGCTAAGGGATAAGATAGAGAGAAGTAGAGGAAGGGGGAGCACGCGGTGAATTAATAAAGATATCCAAGGTACAAGATCCGAAAGGCTGACCTATGCAAAGAGGAAATAGTGATAAAGGGTAAGAGAGAAAGGGCAGCATGGCTCTCTTGCGCTGGCCAGTAGCCGTATAGCGCTTCCCATTGTGCCCTCGACGTTCTCGAGTCTTCTCCTCTCCCGTGTCCCTTGCTTGTTCACCCTGCTCTCATCTTCTTCTCGTGCCCTTGTCCGCTTTCCTGCTTTTTCTTCGCTTCGAATTCCCGGCTTTCCGGAAGACAGCAACCCAAGAAGGCGCCCGTAAACACACAAGATGGATGGCTTATTCTCCGGAGCCGGTTTGCCGCGTGTATCACTCGTGCTCTCATTTCCTCTCTCCTTCTTCTTCTTTCCCGCCTCCTCTCTATAGATCCTAGAAGGAAAGATCGGCCCACATATTGGAGAACAGGGACAGACATAACAGGTAAACCCGGGGTTCATCTTCTTTATTTTCCTACAGTCCTCTCGCCTGCGCATATATCCTCCTAACATGTGGGTTGCAGTGTGCTTCAGGGCCCACCCTCGCCACCCGCTCTGGTCTAGTCTAGCCCGCGGCTTTCTACCTAACAAGCATCGGACTTCTTTCCTAGTTGTTCTATATTGCAAATCACGCATAAGAAGGAGAGGGTGGTGCGTGGTGTGTCTGAAAGGGGGGCTAATGATGGGAAGAATTGCTCTGGCCTTCTCTATGGTGCATATGTGACTCTAGATGCCTGCCCGTGTGTGCGTGTGTGTGTGTGTGTGTGCCTGGTGTCTGGAAGTGAATTTTCGGTTCCGCAAGCCGTGCGCATTGTCATCGAACTGTTCGGACCCTCCTCATTCTCGCTTCGGAATCAGGATGGTATCATGGGGACGGAGGGGTGACAAACGCAAAGAAAAGCCCGTGTTTCCGTCGCCTCGTGCAATGTCACGGTGGACCTGCTTGCGCAGAGCAGCATGCTTGCTTTCTATAATCCCCCTGCTTTCGTGCGTCTGCCGTACAAGTAAAATAAACTAAACTCTTGTGCGGACGCACGAAGCAACCTCAACATGCCGCCCCGCCCGGATGCTCTTCGGGCGTGAAGGCGGATGGCGCGGTCGCTGGTGGCTACGGCCGACGAGTTGGCCCGAAACGGGAGGACAAAGAAGGAGACAATGGCGAATTAAGCCGAGAGGCGAAACTAGGGGGAGAAGAAAACATAAGGATTATCGTAATGCCACGTGCCATCATGGATGCCATTATCTCGCCACTGTTCGACGATTGCTATGAAGAGAGGGAAAGGCGATAATCATAAAAGGAGAAAACAGAGGTAGCAATCGTGTCAGCGTAACCAAGGATTCGCGGCCGTCTCAAGTCGCCATCCTGCGTTCGTTTCTAGCCCCCGTAGTCAGAAGGGTGCTCTCTCGTCTTCTGAGCCAGACTCCTCCTCGTCGATGAGAGCTAGTTCCACGAATCGCCTAACCCATCGAAGTTGCTCCTCGTTTAGTTCATCAGGCTCTTCGTCGTCATCATGCTCTACAACCTCTAGTCTTAGCGCGGGTAGCCCCTCAGCGTTTCCCTGGCCTTGATGCCACTGCTGCTGCTGCTGCTGGCCAGCGCGCCGAGGTTGAGGCTGGCCTTGCTGCCGGGGCTGGCCTGGTCTTCCCTCGGGTGCTGGCGGCCGTTCCGGTTCTGGTTTCGCGCTGGACCGCCTCCTCCTCTGGCCGGCTGTGCTAAATGGTCGGCATGGGGCACTCCGCCGTGATGCTGACCTCCTCGACCTCCAGGCGGGAACCCACCCCTTCCAGCTCCACCGACGCCTACACCTCCTCGACCTCCACCAGCCCTTCGGCCTCCTCGATGGTGGCCGCGGCGACCGCCTCCCCGCTGGCCATCGGCATGCGCCGGAGCTGGCGGTACCGGCACTGGAGGGGAACCGCTGGCCGGTCGGGGCCTCGGTCAATGCGCAGCACGAGTGGACCCTCGCGGGCGACTTGTACCTCTGGCGCCGCTTGAGGCCTGGGGCCCATTGCCCAGAGATCCCAGTCTAACTCGACCTCGCCATCCGCCATGCGCCGCACAGGGCCATCGGCCGCCGGAACATTCTCAACGTCATCCTCGGGCTCCTCAATCTCCGGTTGAGCGAGTATAATCTGAAATGGGGGTTCGTTGGGTCTCTCTCGGTGATGAACCGCCTCCCTGCGCTCGCGAATGTGCGCGTGAAAGTCGTTGTTCTCGCCATGGCCCGTTTGGTAATCCCAAAGCCGCTGATAGCAATCCCTGTATCCTGGGTTGTTAAAGTGGCTGTACGGGTTCTGCGGGTCGAGCCAAGAGGAGCAAAGGTAGCAAAAGTGTGTATTGCACCGAAAGCAAATCATGTGGTTGCAGCCCTCCGTCTTTTGCGCGGGGGCATCGCAAGACGCGCACGGCCGCGTCCACTTTTGGATATATTCGAGAGACGCCTTCTCCTCCTCTGACAGCTCGTCGCCATTACACTTGGCACGGCAGCGAAAGAACTCCCCATGCCAGGACTGATAGCAGCGGGAGCAGAAGGCAAAACCGCAATCCGCGCAGATGCAAAGAAGATCTTCCGTCCTGAATCCTCTTGCCACATTTCCCGTGTCCCGAGCCTCCCCAGCCTGCCTGGCCTCGTTGCTTGCATCCTCGTTATCGTCTGCATCATCAAGTTCCAAGCCGCGGGGCTTCTTGTGTCTTTTCGAAATGGCGGCTCCGTTGCACCATTTCCGTGGGCAGTAGACCGTAGTCTTATCTGACTCAAGCTCTTTTTGTACTTAAGGGATACGTAGCGCGAGACTAGATCCTGCTCTAGCCCAATAGCTAACAGCTCGCCAGGGCTAATGTGAATCCTGGGTTTCCGACCCTTCTTCGCTGGATCATTGTTGTGCGCAGTTTCCTCTCCTTTGCGCAACCCGGACTGAGACACTTGACGATAACCAAGTCACCTTGTACGATGGCGGTAGAGTAAAAGTCTCTTAGGCACGCGAGGCAAAAACGTGACCGCAGTCGTTCATCCTGTGGCATGATCGTCCCTTTTGGGATCTAGAGTTATATATTAGCGGATAGGAAGATAAAAGCAGAACGTGATGTTGAAAAAGAGCGATGAAGGTTGGAGGGGCGGAGAACAGTGTGCCAATAGGGTACCTATCGGATTTCACTATCTCGGTATGAGCAACGTACCTAGGCAGATTCCACAGTCAAAAGATTCATTCTCGAATGCCGCCCGCCGAGCCTGGACGTCGTAATCAAGGATAGAGAGCATGTGGACTAAATCTATCTCAAGGTTTCCAGACGCGTTCACCATTCCAAAGACGTTGTCCGCAGCTTGCTGCAGATGGTCTATGTAAGTAAAGGCAATCATATCCCGGCCCATCTCATCCCAGAGTCGTTCGGCGTCTCTCTCCAAGGATTGGATAGCATCGGCCCTAAGCCAAGACGGCGACGTCGTCAGGGTAACTCGGGGCGGGTTTTCACTTGGATACCCTTCAGGCAAGATCATGCGGATCGAGACCGCAGGGAGGTAGGAAAGTTCGTGGGATGCGACATGATTTGGCGGAGGGGCATTAAATGGGCCAGGTGCTGGCGTTGTCGCTGCCATGGATACACCGGTGGCCAAGGTTTCTATGGGAGCCGTGTTGGCGGAGGCTGTGGCAGGAAAGACGACGGTGACGGGACTCGCGGGCTTGACCGGAACCTCTAGAGTAAAGGCGAGACCGCCAGGCTCGTCCGTCCTCTGGAGCTCGGGGAAAATGGCCTCAAGTGAGCCTAACTCATCGAGGCGGAGGTCTTCGGTTGCATCATCCATGGCAGTAGGTTTGTTTTCCCAGCTTTTGGAGCTCCCTGAAAGCCGATGCTACCTCTTCATTCTTGAATATGTCTGAAGATGTCTCTTGAAAGAGAGGGGGCGAAGAGGGGTAGATAGAGGGACAGAGGGAGGGAAAGAGAGAGAGGGAGATAAAGTGAGAGAGAGAGAGAGAGAGAGAGAGAGTGTGTGTGTGTGTGTGTGTGTGTATGAGTCTCTAGGAGAGTGATTGTGCGATGAAGTGAGTGAGCGGGCGTGTATGGGTGCGTAGAAGACGTTGGAAGCTCGTGGTGAGGTTTGAGGGGGAAAAGACGAGGGTATGTGCCTCACTAGCGGAAGCGAAGTGTGTAGGAGACAAGAGGAAAAAGAGAGAGGAGATATACGCCGTCACGAAGAAAGAGATGGCAACGGGGTGAGAAATTCCGTAGAGATCCGGAAGTGTCTATTGCGCGACTCCTACAATAAATGGGACAGCCAGGCAAGTGGCGAGTCCAGCGTGAGATTTTGTAAGCTAGGTCAGTTGAGGTTGTGAGTCGATTGGCCGTTCTCAAGAGTGGGGAGGAAATTTCCTAGCACGGCATAGGACGGATTGCCCGAGTGCGAGAAGTGCAAGGCGAAGAATAGATATAAGGAAAAGAGAAAAAAGTGAAGAAAAAGAAAAAAAAAAAAGAGAGAGAGAGAGAGAGAGAGAGAGAGAGGGGAAAGGGAAAACAAAATCCAAAGGAAATGTCGGGAATAAACAGAACGTGAAATTTTGGGGAGAAAAGGTGAATTTCTACGGAGAGGGGATCTCATACAAATCTATGTGCACCCAAAAACCGATATTCTGCTTACAGCTACGGTGAGAGATATTGGCAATGAGATTTAGGTAAGGATAAGATTTCATCAAGTTGAATGATGAGTCTGTCTCCACCTCATAGGTCTCGAATGACGACCGCTTCTACGCTCTGCGACTGTCCCTTGATTGGTCAAGTTAATCAAGGAAAGAGCGACCGTTGAACTACCTTCGCAAACGCGGGGCATGGACAATGAGGGGAGAAATCGATATTGTGCACAGGCGAGGTACTAATGAGGCCCTGGCGACGTGCAGTATGTCTGGTTAAACGGGCTAGACAAACTGCTGCTGCCTAGGAGGAAAAGACCAGTATTAAAACCACATATTTTGCGGCAATTCCACTAGGGATAATTGCCTGGAGACTAGACATGGCGACCAAACTAAAGCCAGATGTAATTGGAGTCGAAATTCCCACTAATAAGTCAGCCAAAGGCTGTGTTATAGCCTCCAGATTTGTGAACATTTGAAGCTCTTCAAGCTGTAGTGGGCCATGTCGCCGGACCTGACGACAGTTTCTATCACGTGTTACTGTGGCGGGTGAGACTCGCGACACCACTGCAGACTTCATGGCCACGAAGCGGCTGAAATGCGCCACAAACCACTCTCCCACCGTGCTCTGCTCGCGCTGGCCTTTCCCCCTGTGTCGCGTGGTGACCGCAAGACGCTCTGACATCACACCCAGATCGGCCGGCTCGCTCAGCACCCAACTCTAGCATGCAGGTGGAGGAACAAGCATCTCGAGGTCAAGCTGCTCAAACCTCTCAATTGGAGTCAACTCCCGCCCCTCCCTGCGGCCTGTACTTTCCCTTTTAAAACGCAGTGATATTACCTCCCTTGCCCTCTTTTCTAGATTTCTTGAGAGCCACGCTTGGCTGCGTTTTAAATCTCATAGGGGAATTCTTCTCAGCAATAAGAGAGTAGAAGAGGCAGCAACAACAATGCCCTCCCGTCTGGAACGGATCTAAGCCTGAGCCCTTTCACAATCACCCACCACCTACATACCCGGGGGTCCCACTCCGTTTAGAAGCCTCTTCCGCCCATCTATCGACCTTCTCGCTCGTTTCTCCAACCGCCGCCAAGATGTCCGAAGACGCAGGTCCTCTCGCGTCCCTGTCTCTCACACACGTCTACTACGTGCGTTCCTCCCCTCCTTCCCTATGCCCTAAAATGAGAAACGACAATAAAAAGGGGAGGGAAGAAGCTATGCCCGAATTGACTTACTTACCACAGCCTTTACCCAATCATAGGACCCTACCGACCCCGTCTCCCTCCTCTGCGCCTGGCTTGCCCTCGTCCCTCAAGCCCTCGTCATTGTTTACGCCACCCTCTCCATCTCCACCCGCGAAATCGAGGTCCTCCTCACCTTTGCCGGCCAGCTCGCCTGTGAGGCCGCCAACTTCCTCCTCAAGCGCCTCATCAAGGAGGCCCGTCCCACCCGCATACCCACCGGCAAGGGCTACGGCATGCCCTCCTCCCATGCCCAATTTGTCGCCTTTTGGTCTCTCCCTGACCCTCTTCCTCCTCGCCCGCCACCGCCCCTCCTCCCACCGCCCCACCTCCACAAACACCTCCAATCCGGCCGCCACACCTCCGGCCTGGCCCTTCCCTGCCCGCATCCTCGTCTCCCTTGCTTCCGTCGCCCTCGCCATCGCCGTCGCCGTCAGTCGAGTTTACCTCAGCTACCACACCTCGAAGCAGGTCCTCGTCGGCTCCGTTGCCGGCATCGTCTGCGCCATCGGCTGGTTCCTAGTCACCCTGGTCCTCCGCACCTCGGGCGTCCTCGACACCTTTTTAGCCTCGGACCTCGCCCGCGCATTTTATTTGAGGGATCTAGTCGTCCACGAAGACCCCTGCTGGGCCGGCTGGCAGAGGTGGAATATCCAGGAACAGGGTCGTACTTCTGCCAAGACAGCCGCCTCAAAGCAGAAGCGCAAGTAAAGGAGAGAAGGAGAGAAACAAAGAAAAAAGAAAGAGAGAAAATGGGGGAATAACTACCAATATGTATGGCAAGGAGCAAAGGCAGTTCACCCAAAGACCTCGTATCGGAGAGTACAATCTGTGTACAGTGGCCCCTTCGTCGGAATCGAGGGGTTTTCCACCTTGCAAACCGTTCGGTTCTCTCTTGTTCCCATCATATCACGTGTAATACCATCAAGTAAATTTATTGTATCATAGCCTATGCCAGCCTTTAGTCTTCTTCTAAACGAGTAACACTTTCAATCCACTTCCCCCACCGAGCCTTCACCAGGGCCCCTATTACCCAGCCTAAGCTGTTGTTACCTCGCTGGTTCCTCGGCAAGTTTGCATCTATTACAGCAAAGGTTTGAGCCCCCTCGAGTATATAGTAGGCGGGGCACATTTTCACTCATTATTGCATTCAAAAACATGTCTTCCCAAGAAAAAGAAACCATAGCTCTCGTTTGTATTCTGAGTTCTCTTGACTCTATCTGTTTAGAAACATGAGATCAGGGAGGGCAATATTGCAACCCCTTGCCCTCTCCGTTTTCCTCGTCGCCACCTGTAAAGGCGAGACCCTGATTTCATTTCATCCTCAAGGAGAGAGGGAGAAAAGCTGGCGAGGTGAAAAGGAAAACGAACTAGAGGCAACAAAAAGAGAACCCCAGCCGAGAATGCTTCATCAAGCATAAACTACCGCATTCCATCAAGCGCATATCCACCCTTTGTGGCCTTGGCATAGATAGATACCAGATCGTTTGTTTCATGTAGTGAGTGTATGTAAAACCAAAGAAGAAGAGGAGGAGGGGGCAAAAAGGGGCGGGGGATGTGTCAACATAAGAATGAGTTTTAAGAGGAGGCAAGGGAGGGTGAAAGGGTAAAGGAAGAGAGAGAGAAAAGAAAAGGAGATAGAAGACGAGAAAAGAGGAAGAAAAAGGAAAACAACAGAAAACTGAGAAATAAGGAAAACGAGTCTATGTGGCCCCTTTCTGCCGTCCACCCTTCTCCTCACTTTGCGTAGGTAGTTGTGATAGCTCCAATGTTGTTCCGATAAACACCGTATAAATGCCAGTCCCTGATAGGTATAACGTGCTTGCAAACCCGTTAAGCAAGAAGGAAAAATAAACCAAGGGAAAGAGGATGAAAAAGAAAAAGAAAAAGGAAAAGGGATAAATGAAAAGAACTCCTGCATTCTTTTTCATTGCAACCGCCAAGGATTCGCCGTCCCAAGCGCGATAAAGAGGAAAAAGACAACTGGCCACGCAACTCCGACACACGCCTTTTATACAAGTTTGCCCAAGAGAGGTCCGGCCTGCCGTCCGGCCTCTTCCCCGAAATCCATCAAATTAGTCGTACCAGGTACACTGTTGTAAATCATCATACTTCATCAAAAGGTATCCTTGCGGGTTCAGATCCAGTCCGACTTCTTGGCGGGGGTCTGATCCCGGGACCCAGAGGAAGGTGATTGGGGGCTCAGCTGACCCCTCTGCTGGGGGAGGGTGAAGCCGACGCCCCGGGGGCTAGTGACCTTGGCCTTCTTTGGGCTCTCGGGTGGCTTGTACACGGCCGGGCTGAGGGTACAATCCGTCCTCTTCTCCGGCTCAGGCGTGGACGAGAGAGTCTTCCTATCATCGTTGTCTGCAATGCTGCCGTCACCGACATACATGGTGACGCTGTCGTCATCGCGATCATCACGATCATTAGGATGCTGGAAGCTCATGGCCACGTTGCTCAACGGGCTTGGCCTCTGCTGGTTTACCGGATCGGCGCCCCGAGCGAGGGGCATCCCAAGTCGTGCACGCTCTTAGAGTCTTGGAAATATTTGGAATTGAGAGGCGGCATGTCCTCCATGTTGGATAGGCGGAGCCCGATTTGCACTGTAGCATGCGATGCCAGAGACGAGTCCCGGCGGTGGCGGAAGCCATGGATGGGCGCCGGTGGCTTGAGCGTGTCGATGCTCACCATTGTCTCCTTGATGTTAGGGTCATAAGTGGTGGCTGGGAGGAGGGTAGGGGCCTTGAGGTTGGCGTTATTGTTAGGGAAGAGAGAGTAAGAGTTCTTGGGCGTGTGCCTCTGGTACGGTTGGATAGGCTGCGGCGACCTGAGCGCCTTGGCCGTTGTGATAGGGAAGACGGCATGGGATCGAAGGGGTTGATCCTTTCCTCCCAGGGCTCCTTCTTCTCGTCGCCGTAGTAGCTGTCACGGTCGTCGTTAGAGCTGGCAAACGAGTCATTGGTATTCATCCGCCGAAGGCCGGTGGGCGCATTCACAGACGGACCGGGTGCAGGGTCTTCGCGCGAAGTCCACACTCGGATGCCCCTCTTGAAGCTCTTCCTTCGGTCTTCTTCGTACTTGCCATCCTTCTCGCGAGGACCGATGGTCGACATCGTGGTGGATCGCAAGAAGAGGTGGAGGCCGCCCGTCATGAGGCCCGACACGTTCGCGACCACAGAGGAGACCATGGACAACTGTAGGGCGGCGTTAAAAACTCCCCGGTCTCTTCTGTTCTGGAAGGCAAGAACAAAGAAGAAGGGAACGATTAAGAGCTGCGAGGGTTATTAGGAGCCGACACGTCAAGAGGTGGGAAACTGGAGGGAAGGGAACCATGACTTACTGCCGAAATGAAGCCTACGGCGAGGTAGTACACCATCCTGGAAGAGGCAATTCTCTCCGTGGGATCAATTCCTGCATTCCTGTGCAGCTTGACAAAGATGACTACAGTGGCGGCGAGGAGAGCCGCGCCGATGATGGTGAGGACTGCAAAGCAGCCTTCGGCGTACATCTGGACGAACCAGAAAAGCGAAGCGAAGCAGAAGTTGGGAGGGCGCCTGAAATGGGTGACAAGATAAGTGGCGAGCAGTAGAGTGCCAACCAGCGCGAGGCAAATGATCACGTTCCATTTGGTTCGGGGCGGGAACGGGTTTCTTCGCCGGAAAGCTCGGATGGCCACCTCGACGCCAAAGATGAGCTGAATATAGGGAACGATGAAGACGGCTAGATGCGATAGTATGTTAGTCCACTTGTGTTCTTCCCCCACGCTTTCCGCAATAAAAGACAAGCAAAGCAATCTCCTCCCCTTTTCATCACACAAGCCCCAAAGATTCTGATATTCAGAATAATTGGTGGCTGCGGACCAAAGAGAGAAGAAAAAATGATAGGAGAAAAGGATCCAACCCACCTGGTAGCATCATCTGCGAAACAATGGTACATCCCAAGACCTGTTCGTTTCTAAGGCCAGTCGACTGAGCGACGGCGAAAACGATGCCTTGGATGACGATACCACAGGACAAGATGAGCGGGAAGGCTTCAGCCGGGCCCACACAGTTGAACGCTGACGTCCTAAACTTGTACTTGGGGTCGTTCCTCTTCGCCGTTGCATAGCCGTCCCACAAGATACCCACCGCCGTCGCCGCTGCCGCAACTACGTTGAAGACAGAGAGGATAATGGTCGAGGTTCGTATCGACTTCGCCGCCTGAAATCTGAACTGGTTTATAATCGTGTTCGTCTGGTTTCGTCCACCAAACCCCCTGAAGCCGTTGCCAGTCCCGTTGTTGTTAAACCCATTTCCGTTATTGCTGTTGTTGCTATCATCGTCGTTGCCGTTATTGTTGTTGCCGCCAAACCCGTTGCCAAACTGCCTCGCCCATAACTCGTCCGACCGGGGTTCTAACCAGCCCCAGCTGCTGTCCATCTCGTTTGTTCAGGCACCGGCCTGATTCCAAAAACAAGTTCGAGTGCGATAGGGAGAGACGTTGGGGGAGAGATTATGGCCTTGCGAGCCGTCGTAGCCAACTGATCACGCCTTAGTCCAAACCATCTATCCGATGAGGTGTTCTTCGTCCGACTTGAATGAGCGTATGGAGTCGAAGTCGAGGTTGAGTGGATGAGTCGTAGTTGAGGTTGAGGTTGAAAGAGAGAAAGGGAGGGAGGAGGAAGGGTGAAGAGCGGATGGATGGGATGGTAAGAGGGAAGAGGAATGTCTTCTGGGGGCGGCAGGAGCAGGGGTCGGATGGAGGAGAGATGGAGAGCAGGGGTGGACCCTAGCCCAGGAACTATTCTTTGGTTCGGCTCAGATGGAAAGACTGCGAGGGTGCAAAGCAGTAACTTGGCGACACGGACTTGACGAAACAGGTCCAGTGCTGCGTTGGGTCCAATGTTGGCGTCGGACGAGAACCAAAGGGCAGGTACCTACCGAGCAAGGGAGGCGGCAGGCGGGAGAGGCGGTAGCTAAGGCCAGCCTTGGAAGTAGAGACTAGCAGACGAGGGGGAGAGGGACCGATTGAAGGGTCGACTATCTTTCCTAACAGGGCAATCGCATAAAGGGAGGAGCCAAGGTAACCGGATCGAGAGAGCCAGGTCTGGGGGTAGGGACGAGCAATAGTGGGAGGGTTGTAAGACGGCCGGCTCAGATCATAACCGAGAGGACGTATGACGAGGAGGTGAAGTGACCCTCCCTCCTTCTGACACGGGCACACTGTGACCTTCTCTGAAGACGGGGGTGCGAGGGGAGGCAAGGTGCGGCAGAGCCAGACAAGCCAAGCATGGAAACTCGCAGATCCGTGTATGGGTGGCAAGTCGAAGATGGAGAAGGAAAGCTTGTAGCTGTGTGCTCCGCCTGTCCGAGTAGCCGGGTGCTCCTCCAATCTTTTCTTTTTCAGGGATATTGTTCTTTCACGGGCAGAGGCAGCCAACAATATCACCCTAAATCAAGAGCCCGCACCCGATATGAGAGCGAGGCAAACAGACAGAAGAGGGTGAGAATAGTGCTTCTCATGGAAACATACGGTACCAGTTGATAACAAAACAAAAGGAGGCAGGAAATAAAACAACAGGTAACAAGAAGAAGAGGCGGTTTAGCAGAACGAGAAGCATAGATGGAGAGTATCATGCAGAGCTGCTTCCCATCACTTGTCGTCTTGACCCAGACGAGCGACTGCATGCGCCACTGCCCACAAAGTCCAACGGGCGGGAAGACAGTTACACAACCAATTTTAAAGCCCCTCCCCTCCTTCCCCCAAGAATTGACTCGCTGCCTCATCGTCTCTCTTTCGCTGGTTCTCGGGGGCGATCGCGCACCGCAGGCTATGCAACACAAGCATTGCTTCTGCATCGAAGGAGGGAGAGGGGCGAACAGTGCGTCGCCGAAGAGAGGGGAAAGGGGCTGCAAAGAAGCAATTGATCAATCAATCCATCAAGAGATCCATCCTCTTCCCCCGCCATCTGCGCAAAAAAGAAAAGGGTGCAAGGATGTCACGTCCCGAATCGGGGGTTTGAAGCAGTCTTGTAACACATTCAGGTTTCGGCAGGCTCCCTGTCTGGAACCCCTGACGAGAGGTCCAGGTCCAAATGGTGGGCAGCAATTCTGCAGGGCATCTTCGCCTCAGGGTAGTATCGTTGGTTCGCTTGCCTAGCCGGCCGGGACATCAAACAGCAGGACGAACAGGGAACAGGGGGCAGGCCACTCCTCCTCGTGCTCTCCCCATCAGGGCGATATTTGGGGGTTTTAATGCTGCAAGAGAGAAAAGGCGGGAGAAGTCCCACACTGTGTTTGTCAGCGAAAATTTGGCCTGAAAGTCTTGTCTTTGGCTGTGCCAGGATTACTGTGCGTACATATTTAAACACTATGTAGCTGGGGCTCTGTCACTGGTCTGGGCTTCAGGGGATAGAAGAAAGCATGGTCTGTGCGACTCTTTGCTCTCCGTCTCCCCACACTTCGGAGAAGGAAGTGACGACTTTCTGGTGTGTGGGTCCAGTGCCACACCTTTTTTTCTCCTCGAGCTCTCTGGATCGGCTAGCCCCATAGATAACGTTCACATGCACTTAGACGATGATTGAATCACGAACTGGAATGATCCTTTCGGACACGGCAGAGCCACCCAAGTTTTCGCTGTCACGGTATGCAACAAGGTGATAAATGGGATGCCGTCTAGGAGCAGAGTGGCCCACTCGATACCTAGGAGAAGAGAAACCACCCCGATAGCATCATCCGGGGGTCCCGGACCACACTTTTAAGCTGCCTCAAGTCTCCGATATGGTCCCAAGGTTCAACTTCTGCTGGTTAAATCGGCGGCCGATGGAACCTTGCTATCGAGGTTATGGTTCTAGTCTGATGGGAAACGGAAAAAAAAAAAAAATGGCAGCAAGCGAAGAAGGATGAATCAATTGAGGTGGAAACATGAGCCCATTCCTCTTCTCCTTGTTGAACCCTTTCAGCCAGAGACTGATATTATCCTTCGGACATATGCGCAAGATATCAATACTGCAGGCAGGGGTTGCCGAAAGGAAATATAGGGGAATGAGGAAAATGCCTGTGTGGTGCCGTAACCTTGATTCAGCTGCCTCCTCTTCCCCGGACGCTGCTCTCATCTTGGAGACCATAGAGTTAAGATTGGAGAAACCAACTCCCTTTGCCGGGCTTCATCTCATCGTATCGTGCAACTGGGGGCAGAAGAGCACACATCCCCGCAAATTGATGGCTCTTCCTCCATCTCTTTCACATCTCCTCCGGCAGGGTTACTGCTCTCGGACCGTGACGGCTCCCTGTCATCCCAGCTTATTAGACCAGACGTCTTGTGCCCCTCCAATCCCTGGTGTCTCGGCACCCCTGGCTCAAGGTTTGCTTCAGGCCTGCTCCCACGACGAACACGACTCTCTCCTCCCGCCATTGGGACCTAGTCCCCCGCCCATCAATGCTCCACGTGCAGGCCAGTGCTTGGTGCGAACATGTTCAGACCTGTGCCCATGTATCGGTATGTGTTTCTGTGCCTCCAACTGTGCGGTAAAAGTGATTCTTGCGCGTGCAGGGTACTTTGTGCCGTTTCCTCGCCCGTCGTTGCGGGGATTGGCAGACTGTGACACACGCTGTGCCTCAGGTCTTCCAAGCCCATCCGGAAAAAGACGACACGGGCGAAGCTTAATCTGCTCTACAAGCGCATTTCGACACTCGCACGCTCGCACACTAGATAATCGAGATGCGGCGTCCTTGGCAGGATCGATGAAAATTCTGGAATCCTAGAAACGCATCCCCCACTTACATCCACCTATATTATTGCCTCGCGGCGTCTCTTTTGTGGATATCGGGGTTGGCCTCCCAGCTATCATACGCGCATCCGGTTCCGCGATAGCTGGATATCGAGGACTCCGTACCACTCAAAAGGTGTTCGTTGTGGGTGCGAAGACCCCAGAGTCGAAGTTTCAATCCCAGTTTACAAACACAAAGATTAGGGTTTCTCGGGGCAAGACAGTGGTAGTACCATGGTTTCTCATCCACGAAGTGGCCCGGAGCAAGTAGTGCAGATAGAGGACGGCTCCAGTAGCTACTACAATTGATCTATGGATGTCTCGAGCGGAGAGCCACAAACAGAGTCTCGTCTACAACGTTTCCTGGTTCGCTGCTTGACCCGTCAATCTTTCATAGATTAAAGAGCAACGAGTGCAAATAAAATGAAGAGGGTGTTGAATCGCTAGTAGTGGGCGAGTCGAAGATGACCGTGTGTTCTAACAGATATTCGGGGAGGAGAAAAGGGGCCCCTTCGCCCTTTACCTTGCAACCCCAATCTAGCTGAGACGACATCCATCCCTACATACAGACATTCGCCCCGGGTCTGCTCGCTTGGAAGGGTAAATATAAACAGAGAAACCACTAATACCCCGATTCAAGAACCGCCGCGCCACGCAGAGAGACCCACCAGGGACACCACCGCTACTCCGCGCACCCCGCACGGATGAAGAAGAATGGGCCCCGAATCCGATCAATGCTCCAAATATGTGCTGCACCCGGTGGCGGCTCTGCTTTCTTCTCCCCTTCTTTTGTTTTCCCTTTTGTAGAGAAGCTAGAAGGCTGGCTCTTAATCGCACCGGTCCTTTTCTTTTTGTTTGTTCCCTTCTCATCGATACCCAGCAGCGTACATTAAGGTAAAAGGAGGCGGATGGCTGTGGCAGATGGCGTCCAAGGTTTATGTTGAAGGCTTGAGGGAACCGCTCGAAAGGGAGGTATGGCTCCACTTGGCCGTTGCCGGCTGTTTCTTCTCCACGGCCTCTCCGGCCCACTTTTTTTTTGTTTTTTCGCCTCTTACAGTTTCCCTCTTCTTCTCTTTCTCCTTAGTCCACGCTGGAATACATGCCGGTTAGCCCTCCCTTTCGAAATGGTTCTTAAAAAGATGCGCAAGGTTGAGGACGGCGAGAAGAACGAGGTGGACGAATGAAAACCGCCCGATGTGATGGATGATCTACAGCCCGAGACTGAGCTCCTCTTTGCCATGTTTCTTCCCCGTCGCCCGTCTTTGCCCATGCAGCACTTCTCTTCCCTGTCCTATTCCTTTTCCTTCTCTTCTTCTTTTTCGCGGTTCCTTGAGTGGGTCAGGCTCAGAGATGCCAATTCTGGGCCGGAGAATCTTGAGTCTGGGATTTCAAATTTTCTCAATACTTGGTCGGTGCGACGGCACAACGACCGGGATCCGTGCTTGTTCCGCTGGTGACAAAATAGATTGGGGGCTCGTGGTGCTGTCATCGTGTCAACCAGTCTAATGTTGTGATACAGCGATGGCCTCATTCTACACTCGGCGGGCGTAACAGAGGAAACACCTTTCCTGCGTCAACTGTTGTGGCGGTACATGTAGTCCAAGGGACAATCAACACCTCATATGGACGTACAGCGGAGACTTTTATTCTATTTTGTTTTATTCTTTTGGGAATCTAAACTTCCGCCGCAGCGAAAGGAACTTGGTGAGATCCTAGAGCGCCAGGGAGGAAGTGTGAGGCGAGGCACTAACACGCCCTCTCACTAAACTGACGACAAAGATCGATAACCAGTGTGGATGTTCACAAGCCGTTTGCGCATAAACTTGAACGACATCACAATGCGGCCCCCAGATGGGGATCCTCTGCCTCCCCTCTTCTCTCTTTCCACGCGGCTCATGACAATGCTATCCCACCTCTCGTTGCTGCTCATGTCTATCCACGATCTCTCTAACTTTTCCATTGTCCTCTCTCTCTTCCCCTCTACCTCGTTTCCTTTCCTTTGTCTTTTTTTCTCACTTCGGAGAAACCCCACTTATGTATGCGTGGATGCGGTCTTCTCGAGACTGTGCATCCCGAGGGATCGACGTTCGAAGCCAGCAAATCTCAGCAAGCTATCATACGCGCTCACATGCATCAATCAATAGCAAAACAAGAGAATAAAATTTCAAATTGTGGAAATATTCCCTCGAACAACGCTGGAAAAAGTGGACCAAATTGTCCCCTCATTGAGGAACCTAAGAAAAAAAAAAAAAAAAAAGGAAAAAGAAAGTTAAGAGGCATCCCACCTGGCGAGTTGACAATAGGAGGGTGACGGAGGAAAGCCTCTCTTTCACGCTCTTTGTCTCCCTCTCGCCCCCTTTACCCCCTTCCCCCTGGAACAACAGGCCTGCTCATGGAAAGATGAGAAACATGGTTGTTGCCTCGTTTTGGGCAGGATAGACTTCCCGCTTAGTCGGCTCGTTCGATTGTAAAGTGGAGGAGCACCACGCCACCGCGCCGCCGCGGCCCTGTTGTCCCGTTTTGTCGGGGTGCGGTTCCGCGGAGTTGGGTCTTTTCTTCATCTTTGTCAGGCTTATTAACAAACGCTTCGCGGCTTATGTGACTCTTCTGGACTGGCGGGGGTAGAGTTGGGGGCGACATGTAACTAACAGCCGAAGAGAAAGAGAGGGAAGCCGGAGACGCCGCAGGGAGAGAGATATGGAGGCGGCGAGACATGAACTACCATGCATGCACGTAGGCGGTTGATAGAACCCTGGCTTTTGATATGGTTAGACGGCATTGTCGTAATGTCGGCAGATGGGAATCTAAAAGCCTAGAAACAACCCGTGGTGTCTGAATCTCGATCTCGGCGAGGTCTATCTGGCCATGGTGAGGTTGAGGGTGAGGCAAACCTCTGCCGTACAACTCCTCAACTTGCGGCTCGAGGGGGAGCGACCGTGTATAGCTCGACAAACGAAGGGGAAAGAGCCGCACCCTGATACTTTTCTTCTTCTTTCCCCTTGGAGAACTATCTTCTCCTCTCAGCCCGTCTACTGGTTCTAGTGCCTTGTGGAGGAATGTTGCCCAACGCTATAACCTAAGAAGGCGCTGGATCCTCTCCTAGCATTCAAGCCACTTGGCAGTTATGATCGCGTAGTTAGTTGTTTACAACTCCTTGATGGAAAGCCCGCTAAGTCGACTCAACGGACGTGATAGGTTGCTTGATAGTTGTGAGGTAAACAAAGCTGACCATGGCCAGAGAGCGCCCAGTCGTGAACCGCCTCGCTGGCTACGAGACGCGATGCACTAAGCCCTAGAAGCCGGTTTACTTTCAGTCTCAAGCATCTCGTTGACTCTCCAGGTCAAAGCAGAAGATGCACGGGTTTGGCATGGTAATGGAGTGTTTGATTAATACATCGATCTATAAGATTGGGTCAAGGAATTTACATCGCAGGGTGAAGTCTCGCACCTATAGTGGCATCTATGGGGCCTGCAACGTTGCCTGAACCTAGAGCCCTCTCGGGGCTGACTTTTGTCGCCGTATACCCCCGCTAGGCTAGGTGTCATGGTCAATGGACGGCTTTTCTCGTACGCTGCCGGAAGCTGCCCTGGCAGCGTCTCAAGACATCAGATGGTGGAGACTAAAGGCGCGATTACTCCTTCCTACGGGGCAAGAAGGGGAGGGGCAGTGGATACGGGAAACGAGATAAGGGCACCCTTGTCAGACCATGAACTCCCTTCTCCAAGAGGGGCGCGAACGAGCTCATTTCTATGACCTCTTCTCATCTCCGCTCGCTGATTCCACATCGAGACCGCGGCAGCCGCTAGGGCATGGGCCTAATAGAAGAGATTGCCCAAAGACAATACGCAGTTCTTAGAAGGGTTTGCGGGTAGGAGGTTGCCATTATGATTCCCTCACGAGTATCAGCAGATAAGGGCTGCTCTCACACAGCCTAGAAATGCATTCAAAGCAGAGTGGGTTGATCATTGTAATACTAGGTGTCGTTCCCACGGTCTTTCCACAGGGTCCTTTCATCCCCCTCTTTCAACGAGCTGTCTCTCAACACAAGGGCTCAGTCTCTGGCAGCGGTTTCTTCCTCCACAACCCCCGTGTCCCATCAGCTTCTCCTCTCACTTTTGGGCGGCAGCAGCTCTGAAATCTGGCGCTCATCGCTGTTTCGCCTTGGCTGACTGGGTCTTGAAGGCGGAAGAGATCTCGCCGACGGCGTAATAAATGGCGTACAAGGGGATGAATACCCAAAGCACGTTAAAAAAGACGAGGTAGACCCACTTATACATAAAGTTGCTGGTATCAAGGTTGATGTTGCCCGTCAGCCACTCAGGACAGAACGTCATGAAGCCTATCGTGACATTTGGTTAGTGAAAATTGCGCCTCTCAGCTCCCATGGCCGCAGTCCCTGCTAACGCAATGCAAAACGACGATGCCCGCATTTAAACCAAACATTGACCGGAGCGCAAGGAAGGGAAAAGGGAAAAAGCGCCGAAACGATAAAATGATAATATAGGAAGTGGGGGAAAGGGGGCGCGGGCGAGTAGCGCGTACCTCCATAAAGCTCGCAGGTAGCGAGAATAATCATCAACACGTTGGACATCGGGTTCTTCCGCGCGAGGCACCAACACACCCCTACCGCGAGCGCCGTGTCCACAAAGACGGTCAGCAACTCCAGGCTCACGACGCCAAGGTCGACCCCCGCCCATCGCTTATCAGCCCGCGCATACACCATCCAGAGTTGGGCAAAAGGGTTATCGCCGCCCGCCTGCACACCAAAAATGCGGTCGGATCCTGTTCCCAGGTAATTGTACGGAGTGGGGTGATAGGCGGCCGCGACGGCTGGGTCGAGCTTGGAGATAGGGACTGAGGTGAAGAAGCAATGGTAGAGGAAGCTGCCCTCAAGGATAGTATGGCAGAGCGCATCAGCGGCGTGCCATACGAAGAGGAAACGCGTCGCAGAGGTAGCCGAGGTCGGGAGGAGCGCACGCGCGAGAACGACGCCGGCGGCGGCAATGGCGACGGTTCCCGCCAGAGAGTAGAGAGTGGTGCTGTCAAAAAGATCAGGTGGAGTTCGGACGCCATGTTGATGGCTTGGGTGAGTGAATATGAAAAAGAGTAAAAGGAAAAACGGTGGCAACAAGGTCACAGGTCAGTGCAATATTGAAATACCAGCCTCAAAGGGATACTCTGGACGGAAGAACAATGGATCAATTGATTGTAACGGAGGTCAAGAATGAGGAAGAGTGAAGCTCTCCTCAGAGTGGAAAATAGGCATAGCTTAGCTTAATGGCTGGTTCGCAAAGTCAGCTTGGCAGGGGGTCAAAGCACCATCGAGGGGTAGGTGAACGCGGATTGAGCCTGACTGATGGCTGTGGCTAGGGAAGCGATATGGCTGGCTAGATCAAGCTCCTGCGCCGCAATTGGTTGGTCACGCCAGGATTCACCAGCATATTCATTTCATTTTCAGGAGCAACAATCACTAAGATGGCGGGGAAAAAAGCTTAAGTAGGGTTGACGATTATTATTGATCTATAGAGTTCATCGCGGGGGTATTATATTTGTTGGGTTCGAGTGGAATACATGAAACAGTCCTTCATTCATTCTCCCAGGGCCCCTAGACATCGCCTGGCGAGTCTGTTCCGTTCAGATCATCCGCAGGATGCTTAGATGAGATCGCGGTCGCGCTGAGCAGCGTTGGTAGAGCCAATGGGCTTGTTGGCCTCGGCACGGGCATCGTGCTTCGACTCGTCGAACTTATCGCCGAGGGCATCCTTGGCGGCGGAGGCACTGTGGAAAGTTCAAGTTAGCTTCCGGGCTTGTCGTGCAGGTTGAGTACGAGGCGAAAGGGGGCATGAACTCTTACCGAGTAGTGACGGGGTTGTTCCTGTCCTTGGCGACCTCCTTGTTGGTCTCCTTGGAGGCGGTGGAAGTGGCAGACTGGACGTTCTCGGAAACGTAGTTGGCGGCCTTCTTGATGGAATCCATTGTGATAGTTGGGGGTTGTTTTGTTTGGTTTGAAAAAGTAGTTTGAGGTTTGGAAGATTGTCTGTAGGATTGAGTTGTTTGAGTTGGTGATGATGAAGGGAAAAAATACAGCAACTAGATGGAGGGAACGTTGTGTTTATATAGAGATCTTTGGCCTATCCAAATGGGTCATCCATAACGTCCGTGGTGCCTTCTGTTCTCTGTGCGTTGATACATCCATGGATGTCAGTTGTTACGTCATGATCGCGATAACTTGCCCCACGAAGAACGTAATCACATCACTCAACATGGATCAATAACACACTACCTCTTCCCATGGCGACTTCCTGTCCTCAATCCAGGTAGCCGTCTCGGCCTGCCCTCGCGACAAGAGGTTCCGGGACCCACTGCACACGTGTGACGTCACGGAATCCAGAGTAGGCGCTGCTGGTCCAGCTCTCAACCGAGGAAGGGGAGAAGCTCAATTCGAACTTGCACCTGCCGCAAAATCATGCAACTCGTAACTTCTTGCTCGTGCGCTACTGCAACTTGAGAGTTTATGGTTTATGCCGTGTGGGGTAATCGAAACCCGCAGCTTCTATCCACTTCTGTCGGTTCGCACATGCAGAAACCCGGATCACGGTCCCACATGTGCCTAAACTGGGCGCCTTCTCTAAGCTTCGCAACCTTGCTCATACGCTCGTAGTAACATAGCTAATGAGAAAGGAGAAAATACACTCTTGCATGAACTTTCCCCGCGCGCAATACTATCAGGGAACCCTTGTAGACCATCTCGTGGAGGAGACTGACGTTCCGAGCCTCTCAGTGCCCCTTTCCTTGTTCTTGGCCATACGCCCCTATTCGATTGATGACTTGTGATCTTAAAGCCTACCCTAACGAGTGTGGTGGTGGTGGAACCAATCTTTGCCGACCAGCCCACGCGCGGACGCCGACCCTCACCTCACCAACTCCAATATACCCCAGTTTGAATTCGGCAAGGGCTCCCATTTCGTTATGCTCCTGCGAGGCATCGGCGATCTCGCTCACATGCTGTGATGGCCCGCGTAGTGATGTCACGATAGCGTCGAGGGAAAATTTGCGTCAAGGCGATGGTCCCATCAGCCCCTTCAAACCGGTCCTATCCGTGGCCCCATCACCTCAGCTTAGTCTTCAAGGCTAGCGCCGTGACGCGTGGGGCACTGTCACATTATTTCCGGATCTTGTTAAGGGTCAAAGCTTGTCTCTAAGAGAGGGAGGGGGTTTCGCCATGTGCCATTCCGGATGCTGTCCCGCTGCGGCAAAACGACGCAAAAGAAGGGATTGAATCAACAGATGAGACATTTCCGTGCGCTTAGGGATCAGCCACACACCATGGCTTTCCATGTCCCAGCATTCTCAACACTCACGAATAATTCAATATCAATTGGGTACAAGGGATTTCCTTCGAGACCTAGAGTGGCGCAACCTGCCTAAATCCAGCGGAGGAGGGCGCCAGGTTATGGGGAAAGCTTGATGTGAAGCCGGTGTGGTCAGCCAAAGCCCAACTGTGGCATTGAGACACGCCCATTCATCAATGAAAGGCCTCAATGTTACTTTCAATGGGTCGACGCGCGGCCGATCTCAAGAGCCAACCTGGCATCACTCGCTGCAATGGGTGTGTATTCTCAAAAGAGAAGTTCACAGTGTGGTTTGGTGAACTAATCAGGTTTATTGCTAGGTCCTGGAGAGCTCTTTCGAAAGGGCGGAGCGGGGAACTAGACGTCGTGGAGCAAACATGTCGTCATGTTCGCTGTGAGGGAAGGTCGCAACCTTCACCTCAGCCGCAATGCATAGAAGGAACCACTCAGAGCGGACCGGAGAGAATTCTCCTTAGAGAAGGGGGCGTCCTTTCCGGACCAGACTATTCAGCACCCTTATGAAATCATGACGACACGGTTGAGCGCCATTTAGGTTGGAGCTAGCGGGTTGGATGCGGTTACGTCATGTTGTTCTTTGAACGTGGTGACATTTTTGAAATATTAGGACTAAGCTAATTGCGGTAAAGGCACGACTCTTCCTCTTCCCTGTGCATTATGTAAGCAGACACAGAATTTCCACGACATGTCACTCAGTCCATGACCTCCAACTTTAACACCACAGCTAGGCTTGAGCTATTTTGGAAGACTTTTGTCTGACATCAGCATCAGTGAAGTCGAGGAATTATTTGGGTTAATTTTTGTCCCTCCTGATATTACCTTTTCGGTCCTTAACTTTTCAGCGTTCAGGGCAGTGATAACCTGGAGTGGACGTTACTCGTTGCATCATTCCACGCAGTTAGTTCCGTTACTCCGTACGAGGAGTATACTAGGTGGATCAGAATGCCCCTTCACCTGATCCGGAATTGTGTCTCATATTAAGCTATCCATCATCGTGAAAGTCTCCGAAGCAGTTGGCGATGTTTTTGGCGTGCTAGGCATCTTCAGAATTCTCATAGCTCCCAGAGGTGCCCTGGGCTGGTACGAGGCTTAGGGGGAAGCTTTGCAGAAGCTACTACTTATATGATCATTCGGTAAACTTCCCTCAGGATAATAGACGGTTCGACTGCCGGCTTAACTGCGCTTTCAGCTATCAAGACTTGAATTTATCTGAAGAGTAATTGCTATCATGGTGTCTATGTACGAGATGTTCGAGAGCGCCTTAGGTCAGTCGTTCAATTGTGATGGTCTACCTCGGCAGCTTCACTATTCAGAGAAGGGTTTTGTGCTGCCATTGTCGGCAAACCTCGCAGAAGCTGTTATATGACTAAGCATATATAGATCACATGACTCAAATCTCGAGCTGTGGCGCGCCAGGAACAAGTCAGGCTGTGTGGGTCCTTGTGGCTCAAATTTCCCGAGTCTCAGCGAATGAAAATTTTGGTGTTTGTATGGCCCCTTGAGCAAAGTGAAGTGGACTAAAAAAAAATCGGCCGACACTCTCTCGTCGTCCCATCTCGAAGAAAGCTACAGTGTATTATACCCTCCATCCTTTTCCTTTGCCATTGGAGTCCCTCTCTACCTTCTCCTTCTTGTTTCTCTTATTTCCCTCGCCTCTGGCGCCATTTTGTAATTTGTAAAAACACACAACAGCATTCCTTTCTTTTTTTCTCTTTGTGCCACGTCCGACAAAGCACAAAATGTCCGCCTCCTTCAGATCCATCTCGCCCCTTTTGAGGACGGCGCGCGCTCTCCGAGCCGGTCATGCCAACCCGTTGTATTTTGCCGGCAAGAAGCAGAATGTTGTGGGCATGATGAACTATGCTCGAGGCTATGCTCAGTTCACCCGTGACAAGCCTCACGTCAACATCGGCACCATCGGCCATGTCGATCACGGCAAGGTAAGCTTTAGCTAGTTACCCATTCTTTCGCATTCATCGCGAAGCTTTGGTGGTCTTTCTTCAATGAATCACTTCTAACATATTCACCCTCTCTATTTCTCATCAGACCACTCTCTCCGCCGCCATCACCAAGAGACAAGCTGAGAAGGGCTTCGCGAACTTCTTGGACTATGGCTCCATCGACAGGGCCCCCGAGGAGAGGAAACGTGGTATTACCATCTCCACCTCGCATATCGAGTACGCCACCGAGAATAGGCACTACTCCCACGTCGACTGCCCCGGTCACGCCGATTACATCAAGAACATGATTACTGGTGCCGCCAACATGGATGGCGCTATCATCGTTGTCGCCGCCTCTGATGGCCAGATGCCCCAGACCCGTGAGCACCTTCTTCTCGCCCGTCAAGTCGGTGTCCAGAAGATTGTCGTCTTCGTCAACAAGGTCGACGCCATTGAGGACCCGGAGATGTTGGAGCTCGTCGAGATGGAGATGCGCGAACTTCTTAACCAGTACGACTTCGAGGGCGACGACACTCCCGTCATCATGGGCTCCGCGCTTTGCGCCCTCGAGAACAAGAGGCCTGAGATTGGCCAGCAAAAGATTGACGAGCTGCTGGAGGCCGTCGATTCGTGGATCCCCACCCCGGAGCGTGACCTTGACAAGCCTTTCCTCATGTCTGTCGAGGACGTCTTCTCCATCTCTGGCCGTGGCACCGTCGTCTCTGGCCGTGTCGAGCGTGGTCTCCTCAAGCGCGACGCCGAGGTTGAGCTCGTCGGTAAGGGTACTGAAGTCATCAAGACCAAGGTCACCGATATCGAGACCTTCAAGAAGTCCTGTGAGGAGTCCCGCGCTGGTGACAACTCTGGTCTCCTACTCCGTGGTGTGCGCCGCGAAGATATCAAGCGCGGCATGATTATAACCGTCCCCGGTGAGGTCAAGGCGCACAAGAAGTTCCTCTGCTCTCTCTATGTCCTCAGCAAGGACGAGGGTGGCCGCCACACCGGCTTCGGCGAGAACTACAGGCCCCAGATCTACCTCCGTACTGCCGACGAGTCTGTCACCCTCCGCTTCCCCGACGGCACCGAGGACGCTAGCCACAAGATGGTCATGCCCGGTGACAACGTCGAGATGGTTGCCGAGCTCCACCTACCCAACGCTCTCGAGGTCGGTCAGCGCTTCAACATCCGTGAGGGTGGTCGCACCGTCGCCACCGGTCTTATCACCCGCGTCGTCGAGTAAAACCTTGCTACACGTGGCTATCAGACTACGCCGGACTCCTTTTCTTCTCCCTCCGCTCTCCATGTCCCTGAAACGCCCAACGGGGTTGGAAGGTGCGCCCCCATCGCGAACTTGTAAGATTAGAAGCCGCTGGCGCGGCTATTTTGGGGACAAGGAAACGAAGAGGAAAGAAGAAGGGCAAAACCAAACAAGAAAAGGTTCTTGGCAACAGGCCATGGATATAGAGAACGGGGAGTGGAGTCGAGAACGTAAGAACGAGAGTACGGTCAAAAACGACGGAGAAAGAACAATTGTATGGCAATCTTGTAATATACCAATGGCAGGGGAAGAAACTAGACGGCTCTTTTCTTTTCTTACAAAATCAAGGATGGAAGGGGATAGAGGACCTCTTGTATCTTAGCCCTCTCCAACAAAGAAGGACATGGGCGAAGGAGCATTATAAAAAACGAAAGGGGGTTGGAAAGGGGGACATTGCAGTGCTGGGGGAAGAGGAGGTTAGAACACCTCTTTACCCTCTTCGTGTATGACTTGACTGTCTTATTATCTTATATCTTGACATCTCTTCTCTCTCATCATTGTTAATTTTTTTCTTTTGCCGGAGAGGCTTTTGTGGCTTGCATCCGGGTGTATTTAGAAGACCGGACCAGCTATCTTATAGAACCAATACTCTACAAAAAAAAAAAAAGGTGGACTATTGTTGATGAGTGGGTTTGAAAGTTGACGGCGGCCGCAACGCCGAGGTACATGGCTTCACCTTTTGCTCCTGCCTCCACGTCTATCGATGCCCATTCCAAGTCCCAAGCTTAATTGAGTTTGGCTCCTGAGGTGCTAGAGAAGGGGTCGGCTAGGTGCACGCAGAAAGAAGGTGGGTTGCTCCAGATGCCTAGCCGTGGCGCGATCATCAGGATCTCTGCGTTCCGGGTGGAAGACGGACAGGACTAAAGAAGTGATGATTGTAACTCTAGCTTAGGGAGAGTGTAGGGAGAGAGATGGCTCACGCTCCATGAATAACAGTCTTTCTCTATAGCTATAGAGAAAAAGGGGAGGCATAAGATTTCACTGAGCAACAGTTGCATTTACTGTGCACGAGACATCAAAACAGTAATCAAGGTTTCCTTTACCAACCAATGCCCCTATAACCGTTTGTTTTGAAACCGGAGATACAAAGGAAAATAAAAGCAACGACGCCTAATGGAAGCAAGGGTCCGGAAAAAGAAGCGATACTGTTCAGGGAACCAAGGTAAGGGTTGAGAAAGAGACATTGAGGGGTCTCGCGCTTCGAAAGACGAGGCGGAAAAGAAGGACGGTCTTGTTTGTCGTCTCCTGTATGGTCTTGGCCAAAAGCAGGAATAGAGAAACGCGACTTCATACAATTCCCCTGGTTTTGCATTCTCTTCACCATACCTCAAACTCCCCGAAATGCACGCAGGCAAGAGATACCACCACTTCCTCTGCTCATCCATTCCCCTTTCAATTTCCCTGTCCGTCAAAGCCCGCCCTATCGATGACCAAGTCTTTAGGATTTCCCAAGCGAAGGGGGTATAGTCCTTTCGTCCTCCGGAGTCGTATCATTTTGCTTGTCGTGCGTCGTCCGGTCATTTCACCTGAGAAGAATAGACAAAGAAAAAGAGAGGGGCAGAACACCCGTTTCAATGATTTGGTTTTAGATTGCATGCGATGGGATGCGTCTCTTTTTGTTTGTTCTTGTCTTTGGATTCGTTTCGAGCGTTCTGTCGTTCTAATAAGAATTAAACCATTCGCTAAAAGGGCTCGCAAAACGTTCTCTCGTCTCTCTTCATTTTGTTTTCCACACACTTCTCTAAACCCCAACCCAAAAGAATGGTTTGCCAACAGGTTTCGGTTTTCGTTATTCCATGTTAGAAAGCGGGGAGGAAGGTTGGCCGTCCGGAGGAACTAAGGGGGCTTTTCAGGTCGAGCATTTAACGGTACTAAGATTTGCATTAGAATTGCGTCCTAGCCATCTCGCAGCAATGAGGGAGGGAGATGGATAGGGAAGTGAGAGGCGAGAGGACGAAGCGGGGGATAATCGCATGCGGTGGACAAGACCCAGTCCTCTCGAACTAACACCACCCTCGTGAATTGTTTTTCGTACCTTGTTGAAGCCAATGTCCTTGGCCTTCTCGCGGAAGCACTGACGGCAGAGGTCGAGGCCATACTTGCGGATGAGACCAGCCTTGTGCTTGCAGACGCGGCTATTTGAAAGAAAAAAATCAAAATTAGCAGGAGTTCTCCAGCGACATTACTTTAAAACCCGACCAAACGCGCTTCTCCAACTTCCCGTGCCCCAACTCCAGCATGAGCACGTCTTGTTCCCGGCATATTGGAAGTGTTCGAAGATAACCCTCTACCTCTATGGCCCATGGGGGTTGGAAGGGGAACAAGAGAGGTCCATTCGAGAATCGTTTATGGAAAATCCTTACCAGCTGCGCGAGCCCTTGCCGTAGGTGCGGGGTGGGAGTACCAGAGGTTCTCGTGAGACATCTTGGAGGTGTTGAGGGGTTTTTTCTTTCTTGTGACGGAAGAAATTAGTTGTCGAGAGAATATTCTTTCCTGGCGCGCGAAAAAGGGAAGGGGGCGGCGGAGTTCGTGGACGTCGGTATGCGGAAAACTCGAAAGAGGTTTTGATCCTAGGCCAGTCTGGCGTGGTAAAATAATTCAAAATTTTGTGTGGGCTGGAGTCGGAACTGGGCCCCAAGGGTTGGACGCAGCGCCACATTTTTCATGAAAAGTGGGTCGCGCGTGGCTAATGTGAGCGAACCCTCTTGTGTGGCGAGTGAGCTGCACGTACCAAACTACTTCGTATTACCTTCAATCCCATTTTCGACATGCTGATAGCACTATTAGCGGAACGAGAAGAACCGACGTACGAAGGAGCTACCCATTACTTCAAACTCCTTGGCCATCGGAAGGAATGTAATGAATGAAGGCTAGCAAAGTAAAGTAGGATTCTCGCTCCCCAAGGCATTTTCCACCTGTTACGAAAAGCCGTTCCTCAGCCCGAAGAGCTTCTTCACGTGCGAAACCTCCCCGTTTCTAATCAAAGACGAGCGGTCGACAGGGGCCTCATCCGTAGGATCGGAAAGACTAAGGATATTCATTACTTTGTGCGCAGTCTGCTGCTACACGATCTTCTCTATCATAACTCTGACGTGTCCATAAACCAAACTACCTGAAGAAAGAAATCATACAAAATGTACTAAAGGTGCCCCGTCTTTCCTATGAGCACATCTGAACACGCCCGAGAACGCCATTTCCCCCAGGGAGTCCCTTGCAGTATCACGGCCCTCAAGTGCCGGCCATTCTAGAGTCGTCAATACTATCCTGCTGTCACTCGCATCCCTTGAATTGCTCTTTTTCCCTTTTTCTTCTTCAAAAGGAAAATGAACTCGCCCATCGTACCTCGGCGCTTTATTACCAATTCGCCGCCTTGTCGCAGTCGAACCTGGTCAGATCCTTGCCAGCATCTTCGAGGTCCTTTTTCGCCCTCATTCGCATGTAGAAGATGGGGCAATCCTTGAGCTGCAAATAACCTCGCAGTGCATGCTCCCCTGGCACCGCTGGCACTGAGTCCACAATCGGCCAAAGCGCACCTCGAGGTCCGACACCTTGTCAAGCGTCTTCTTGTAAAGCTCCCCACGCGAGGCGCGCACTGCACGCACACGGCGCCGCCGGCTTCTTCCTTGCCTGACAGCGGCTTCTTGCAGCCCATACACGTCTGGGTCTTTTGGCAAACTTCATCAGGCCGCCCACCGTCGGCGCCGCCACCGACACGACACGCGTGTGATCGCCCGTCAGTAGCGATCGCGCCTTGTTTGCACCGAGAATGGGCTCGAAGATACGTCCCAAGGGCTTGGCTAGCTGGTTGTCCAGATAGTACTTGGTGTCAATGGGCACGTTGTGCTCCAGCACGTAGAGGGGATCCTCTGATTTTTCAAAATTTTTAGCGCCGGTCGCACCCTAACCATGACGTAGGCGACTCGATCACCCAGACCTGGGGCTGAACCAGGATCGCGCTCCTTCATCCGCTTTGCCAACTCGGTATGGGCCTGCTTTGCCGAGTAGTCTTCTTTGGTGAGAGCCTTGGTGATGACTAGTTTCGACATGTCTATCTTGTTCTGCAGCAGATCGGCAATGGTGCCCTTGACATAACTTTGCGTAGAGATATTAAGGTTAGCCGAGGTTCTTAGTGCATTGAATAGTCGGCCAGGAAGCAACAAGAAAAATAAGACAGGGGAGACCATACTCTTCAGCACCTTGCTCGTCTTGGTCAATCAGGATCATCTTGAGAACCTTTTCAATGACCGTCTGCACTAGTGTGCAGTTGTCTCGGCGGACCGTTTCAATACCCTTGGTATCCATCTTGTCGTGCTTGTCAGGCCTGGTCCAGTACAGGCCGGCGTAGCGCTTCTTGTTGATGAGCAGGTACGGAAAGTAAACCTTTTCGAACTCGAGCTTGATGGGCTTAGCAAACTTGGCCGTGACGATCTGAGACGCCTCCTCGCCAAGCTTCATAGCCGCGGCGAGGTCCGCGGTGCCGAATTTGACCATGACGGAATCCGTATCGCCGTACACGACCTGAGCGTCGTGTTCGTAGCCATTGGCGATGGTGAAGTGGCTCTCGACCTCGTTCTTAGTCTTCTCAATCATTTTACGGCCAAAGGCTGTCGTGCTCCGTGCGATGGCGAGGCAGGGAAGCTTTCCGGTCGTGGCGCCTGTCAGACCATACACCGAGTTGGCGCTGATCTTCAAGGCAAGCTGTCTACCGTTAAGCACGGCCTTCTTGAAAGGATCCGTCTCCATGGCGAGCTCCCTCTTGGCCTGCTTTCGCGCGCCAAGAAGCTCTTCCAAGATTTGGGCCAAAACACCCTTTCTAACTTTAGCAGTGACAAACATATCCTCGTTCGGGGTAATGATGTAGTCCTCATCCTTCTTCAGCTTGAACTGGTCAATCGTGTCTTGCGTCACGAGCGTTGTGTAGCAGAGGTTGTGCGCCTGCATGATGCTGGGATACAGGGAGGCGAAATCGAGGGTTGCAATAGGTAGTTTGTAGTAGGACCTGACGGGCTCGATGACGGTGGCGCCTTCGTAGTCGTCGGCGCCCTTGGGCGTCAGATTAGGCACGACAAGCTTCTGCTCGAGGGCCTTTCGGAACAGCTGACTAACAAACTTGATCTGCTGCCCACGGGATAGCAGGAAGTTGAAGGGGACACCAGTGACTCTTGCCATCTCGGTGTAGTTCTCCAAGCACGACAATTTCTGCATCAGACGTAAGGGAAGGTAAGCATCCTTGAGACAGTACAGGGCCAGGCGTCGCCGGGACTCGGGCGTGCCGTTGAACAACTCGGTAATCATGGAGTGGTGGACGTCCTCCTTTTGCTCGCCCAGGAAATGGGCGGAGACAGAGTTAAGCGTATAGCTGCGCAGTTGGTGATCCCGCTGGATGAGTTGAAGAAGGTCGAGTTGCAGCCGGCCGTTGATGTTGACCGACTTGGAGTCTCTATTGCCCATCTGCTTGCTCGAGAACTTGGAATCCCTGACCTTGCTTGGTATGTTTGGGAGCCTAGACCAGTGCTGAAAACGGGGTACGCTGAGGTGGTCCGCCCGCCCGAGTAGGTAAGGGAAATCGAAGTTTGCAATGTTGTAGCCCGTGATGATGTCTGGATCCACAGCCACGAGGAAGCGCTGCCACTCTCGGAGCATGTCTGACTCCTTCTTAAACTCAAGAACCTGCGTGGCGACGATCGAACTCGTCGAATCTAGGCAGAAGACGTTGCGGACAAACGGCTTGCTCTCTCCGTATCGCGTGACAATAGCAGCAATCTGGATGATGGGGTCGTGTTCAGGTTCGGGGAAAATACCCTTGCGGCCCGCACACTCGATATCAAAGGACATGATGCGGAGGGGGCAATCTTGGACCATTCCCCTTCGGGTTTGTGGGCGATAAGGTCCCTATAGGATACTTCGGCTTCAATTTGACAGTTGGATTGTTTCCAAGTCTGTGAGATCATTTTATACTTGCCGGCGGGTGCTTCGACCCAGGCCATACCTTGAACCTAAACCACAAGGGAGAGGACGTCAAGGTTAGCAGATCGTACTCAGAGGAGCACCAAGCATCGGAGGCGCTGACTATGGTAGCCTTTGGGGGCAAGGAGGAGACACTTACGTGGCAGTCAATCATAAACCTCAGCACATACTGGATATTGTCGTACGTCTGGATTTTGCCGGTCTCCGTCAGGGAAACATATCTTTCCAATTGGCCTCACCCGACTCAATGGCTGAGCGAACTTTGGCTGCAAGCCTAGGATCTTTGAGGGTAATCTTGATATAGGGGCTCTCGATGTTGCCCCGGTACTCGTAAATATCTATACGCATGACGAGGTTGACGGAGTGAATACATGGCTCGTCACACTCGACCACGGAGTCGAGGAAGGCCATGTACGCATCGCAGTCACTGGGCTGGAAGGAAACGGGCGCGGCGACGAAGAGGTAATGCTTGAAGTCGGTGACGTGGAGCATGACCGAATTACCCTTTTCCGTGACGCCAAAGAGCTTCACCGTCGGGCGGCCACCGCTAAGGTATCCCTCCTCGGCGTCAATGGACTGGAAGCAGAGACTGTCTCGCGAGGGTACAAAGCCGTCGAGGGGCGGCCGCTCCCAGACCTGGTCCTTCTCAGCATTGTGGCTCTTGAGCTCCGATACGTCCTGCGACAACTTCTCAAGCACGTCCGACTCGAAAACGCTCTTGACCTGGCTAGAGCTCAGCTTCGACCGCGGGTCGCCCTGGGACCCCGGGGGCCGTAGTTGCGACGACGAGGGTGGCTCGACGCGGCGCTTCTTCGCCGACGTTGGCGTAGAGGGTATGTTTTGCTTCGAGTTGGTCGTATCAGCCAACACTCGCTTTTGGGGTAGCGAGCTTGCCATAGTGGCAGTTAGCTCTAAGGGAGTGGAAGGAGGGGGAGGCGGTGGGCGTGAGGACGAAGTGGCGGTGCTGTCGAAACCCAGGTAACGGAGTTAGGATGACAAAAGAAAATTCACAATTTCAGAGATAAATCTGGCTGCGGACGGTGATCAAAGCCGCCTCTTTAATTGATAACCTAGTTCTCCGAGGATTGGTTCTGGGGAAGGAGTTTGCTGGGAGATGGTTTAACAGCTTGGATGGAAGAGTGGGAAAAAATACGTGATTCTGTCTAAGGTATTGCTGGCGCTGGTAACTTGTTCAACGCCTAAACGCGGTATCAACTTCTGTGCCGCTCACACGCCCCTAGTTTTTGACGTGACGGAGACGCGACCCCACCTCGAGGCACTTAATTGATTTCACGTGACTTGGCGTTCTGCACAACTAATGTTCCAAAACTACATGATGTATGCACCAGCTTCATCCACAAAGCATTGGTCCAGCCGGTTGTCCGTAGCTAAGCAACTACACTATACTAAATAATACATAATGGGGGATAACTTCAGCAGTCAATTCCAGCTATTACCACGACCGAAGTAAACTTCAATCAAATATGCAGATGATGAAAGAAATCGTTGAGTACTTCCACCACCGCCAAGCTTCACATAAAAATCCATAGACACTTGCCTTTTTTCTTTTCTTCCTCCTCAGTTCTTTTTCCTCTCAAATTACTCTGAACTCTGGGGCAGTTTCAATATCGCATAAGCATGAATGATAGGGAAAGTAATAGATCAGTCGTCAACGTCGCTCAAGCGTTCGGTTCCTAGAATACACATAACATCTGCAGTGGCGCCCTGTGATCCATGCTGTCGTCAGAAAAGAATCCAGTTCGCGGAGACATGCGCCCAACTGGTCAGGTATAGCCTATCGCATGCTCCATATGTTGGCCATCCATCATTCGAACAAGTCCTAGAAAGCAAGAGCCATGAAAATATGCGAAATACAAAAGGCTTGGGTATGAAAAGAAGCTAGCCATGACGTTCCACCTCTTCTTTCTCATAACAAGTTGTTGAGTACCGCACCATTCGGTAAGTAGAGTTTTGCGCCGCTGATCTTGTGTTATCGATCTCTCTCTCTCACCCTTTCGTCATGCCCCTATCCTTAAAACGCCATCGCTGTGCAGAATCAAATCGTGATGGGTACCGTTAGATCAGGGATACACCCCTGAACCGTATCTCCCCCATCTAAAAGGCACTAAAGTAACCAAATTCGATGATGCAGAAGATAAGTGTGAAGAGAAGAAACTAGATATGCAAAAAATGTCCGAAAAATAACCATGATAAACCATGGCGAAAGAACCGAGTGCAGTAAAAGGATAACGAGGGAGCGCCAAAAATAAAATAAAAAAGAGCAAAAATAAAAAATAAAAATAAAAATAAAAGACTTCGTGTCACTGCCAACAGACACGGCTCGCTTCGGGAAGAGGAACGTAGTCGCGTAAGAGCCCCGTGCTTTGGGGGAGGATTATGTTGTTGCTTTTTCCGGTTTTATAAAACTCGCGCAAATACTTCGGCCAGAGCTCGCTTCGATGTTTCGGCCTCGGTCCTAGTGATTTGGATGTCGCCAATCTCACACCAATTTTTAATGGGCTGCATCACATCGTTAGCATACAGGTAATTGGGAAAAGAGACCAGGAAACAAAAGGCGCGCGAGAGGGTTGACGGCTTCACAAGCCCAACCTCGGGCGGCGCATTTAGATTCAAGACTTACCAAGCAGCTCAAGAACTTGCACCAGCTGCAAGTGTTGCGGTAGACATAAAAGTTGTTGAGGAGGACGATGAAGGCAACCGTCACACTGATCAGACAGGCGGCACGTACCATCCACCAAGCCCACCACAAGGGTTTGCGCCCTTTGAAAAAAGCTGCGGGGCTCTTGAAGAAAGAAGGTCCTTCAACGGCACCGTCACGGACCGCGCTGTAGGAGGTTTCTTGGCCCAGGCGGCGTCGCAGGGCGTTGGGTGAATGAAGCACACAAATGCCAAGACCCAGTCCCATGACGAAACCGCCAATATGGGCAAAATTGTCCAGGCCAGGCAGAAGGCCAAGAACGAAGGATATGACAACATCGAGGAGGACAAACAAGAGATCCTTGACAGGGTTTCGGCGCTCTTGCCAAGAGTACAACAGGTCGAGAAGAAGGAGGGCGATGACGCCAAAGAGCGCACCAGACGCACCAGTGGATGGCAGTCCCTCCGCTGCGTAGTTTCCGCCCATAACACAACCAAAGATGCCGGCACTCATATACACGAGGACGAACCGCAAAGAACCAATCGCCTTTTCCATTTCTTTGCCAATAGTCATCTGAAGAAGCATGTTGAACCCAATGTGGATGAGTCCTGCATGCATGAAAATGGGCGTAATGAAACGGAACCACTGGTTCGGCTCGGGGCTCTGGTCCTTGTTACCATTGTAGTCGGGTTCGGGAACGCCGCCAAAGCCGCATAAATCGGAGAGCGTACACGTGCTCGTCTCATCGGTAGAGCTAGGACAAGGCCAGCCGATCACTTCCGTGGACCCCTGGATAGCGTCGATGTTGTGCATACAAGGAGAGAATCGGGCGCCCATATTCACCAAGACCCATGTCGAAGGACCAATCATTGGGTTAAAGCTAGGCTTGATCATGATGGGGAGCCGGTGAGGACAGCTACAGCAGGAACGAGGGGATTGGGGCCCAAGGTTAGCACACGAGCGAAAAAAGGGAAGAGAGCCGGAGAGAGGGACAATCTGCGTAGAAAGGGAGAGTGTCCTTGAAGGCATGGCATGCCTAAACCAGGCAAGGCTCTCCCTAAATGTCCATGATAATCAGCTGCTTAGAAACAGAGAGAAACTTACCATTGCGTGCAATCTCACCAATGAAGACGGCGAGCTGGACCAAAGTAAAAGTGTATACAACCCACGGGATCCGTTTGCGATCAGCGCCGAACATGCCAAGCTGGCCGAGGCGGACCTGTCCCCTCTTCTTCTTCTTCTGCGTAGGCGTCGGGCGGCCAGAATCGGGAGCATCGTAGACGTGGTCGTTTCCGAATTCAACGTCTTTGTGCGGTCTGTTCTGGAGGGGAATGTCCTCAGTTCGACCGGTGTCGGGTGAGGTGCGGCCGGGGCCGTAATAAGCCGTGTCCTGCTGCTGAGGCAGGTTCATGCTACCGCTGTGGTAAGTACCAAAGTTGGTGCTCGAATTGCTGTAGTTGTTGTTCATCGGATAGGCATTATCGTCAAAGACGGTGTCAAAGGGGAGGTATGGGTGCCTTGGTTGGCAGGTCGCTGCGCAGGAGCCGGCGAGGATGTGTAGGGATCGTTCTGAGTGTAGGAGAGAGGTGACGGAGATGGAGCGAGGCCCGTCGAAGAAGATGCGCCGGGAGGCTGAGGGTAAATGTTGTTGTCGCTATAGTTGGTGCGGTTGTTAGGGTCGCCAGCACTGTAGCTGCCAGAGTAATATTCGTTTGCCGCCATCGTGGGAGGAGAGTGGTTGGAGAAGAGGCGTCTTGAGGGAAATTGTCGTAATGTAAGGGATTCGGGAATCGGGGTGCCCAAAATGGGCTTGCTTCTCTGGTCGTAGCGGCGATCCTTGTTACGACTCAGGGCTCGCAATCGGGATGCCGGCTGGAGGCGACGAATGGAAAAAGAGGGGGTAAAGGGAGTGTCGCCCTGGCAAAAGACAAAGGGAGATTGAGAATCAGGTTCCGGTCCTGTATCTCAATTCAGTGGTTGGATAAAGCGAGCGAGACTGGGACCGTGGGTTTGATGCAGTCAGGCGGTTTTGAGTCGGACCCAAATCTTAACAGTGTTATGTTGTATTGGGAAACCGACGCTAGTTGTTTTCCTTTTTTTTTTTCGGTCAGGTACCCGTCGAGAAGGTTTGGGAAAGAATAAATCAATCACAAAGTCGGCGAGGAAGAAAAGAGGGTGCCGGTTTGACGGTTTGGCGGAAGCCAAGCCAAACTGGCAAATTTCGCTAGGTATTATGTAGTTTGATGAATCAGAGCCCACAAGGACGGGACTTGGACCGCGATTGGGTTGCGCTGGGCCTGTGGTGTGGGTAATCAAGCAGAACCAAACCAGAAACCACCTCAGCCATCCGCTTGTACCGGGTACCTATGCAAGAAGGCGGCGAATGAATGGGTCACGTCTCGACCAGTCCAGCCCAGCTCAGGCAGTGTTGGGGAGTAGCGTGCGAGTAGCGTCGTGGCGTCTGCGGGTTGATGATGTATGGACTTGCGTACCCTTCCAAGCCTGGTGCATTCGTTTGTCACTCACCCCTGTTTCACCCTTCAACACACCCTCGATGTTCCTTTTCCTCTTCTTCTGATGTCGATGTTTGAGACCCCACTTCTCGTGCAATCACTGTTGTTCCTTGTGCTGCGCTTTAATAGAACTTTCCCAGCTCCGTTTCTTTGAGCTTGCGCCTGCGTAATCGTCGATGCAAAGTAATGTGAGCCGTGCGTGATAACACAAGGAAGAAGAGATGAAGCGCCCACGAGCCGAAGAAAGCCAGTCTTGCTAACTAACCTCGGAGGGTGATCCGCTCGAAGATCTGTGGTTTTGAAGGGAAAGAGCTTACCTCGGACTTTTTTGTTTTTGTTTTTCTTGGTTGCTCCTTTTTGCTCCTGCTCGGAACCCCGAAAAGGTCAAAATGCGGCAGGGAATCACTCAGCTCTTTCGAGTCTCCGGCACTTGAGGGCTGTTGGATGAGGAGTCCAAGACAGGAGAGCAGGGAAATAACAAAGGAAGAAAGAAAGCTGCTGTCTTGTCAATGCTCTCGAATATCTACTCGGTTTCAGAGGGACCTCTTTTGAGTCCACGTCGTCTTGAAAGGAATATTTAAGAAGAAATTCTCGAGGGGGAAAGGGGCGGCATCTTGAAAGAAAGCGTATATTTCAAATGTCTTAATTGTGGCAAGCCAGCGTGATGTGAAGTGACCACCGTTCGTCATCATTGTCAAGAGAGCTCCTAACAAGCTCGATCGCTGCCTCGAGCTGAAATCCATTGGGCAGGGCTGTGCAAATCAATGACGACGCAAGCAGCAGCGCCCCAGGAAACAAGAAGTTCTATTTCGCCCAATATTGGTGGGTTGGCCTCAGCTGGCCAACCAACTCTCTCCACAATCTTCGTATCCAGCACTACACTGGCCAAGAAGACATGATAGTGTCGCAAAGGTACCCCATACCTACATCATGTATTATCCTTCGAACAGGGAGTACCTTTCAGACTCCGTTGAAAAACTGATAGAATCGTCTATTCCCATGGATACCTTAGTACCGAGGTAGACTTGATGGATTTCGATCAAAGTTCTTTGCTTCACGAGAACGGGGGACCCCAGCCCGATTGGGGGTACCTGTGCGAATATCGTCCCCAAAGTAGTTAGTTCCAGGCCCCTGACAGGACTCGGTCGCGACATGGCGCTGTTCCATCGTGCTGGGGAGCTTGGGACTCCCGAGGAGAAGCTTTTAAGGGTGCTGGTTAATGAGGGCATCAGGTACCCCAATCGATATAGGAGGTACGAGAGGATACACATCAATTCAAGTTGGTCTGAAGCCACCTAACCACCAGACACTCAAACACTATTACAATAAGTTATATTTTGAAGCGCCTGCTGGGGCTGGCCGTGCACAGTGGATCATGCCCGATTTCTATATTTGCAACATGTTGGCCATCCACTCTTACGCCACAGTCCAACTTCAGACCCCCTTACCAATCACACCAAGGCTTGGGTGTTCGGCCACACGTCCAGACGAATCAGATAGATTGGGACCGACCTCGAGTTTCAGATGCTATCAACACTTGCCGCTTCTCGTCGTGCCAATACCTCGGTAGTGTTTGCTGCAATATCACCACACTCTCCTCGCTTTTCCGCTTCCCCTTCCTCTTCCTTTTCGTTAACGAAAGTCCTTCAGATGAGAAAGCGGGAAGCCTGCGATCGATCCAGCCATGTTGCAAATTGGTTCATGCTGGGGCTGGTGGGCCCAGACACTGGGCTGCTCGTTTTTTTCTCTTTCTTCCCTCGACTGTGTAGATCAACTTTTCGGGAAGAGCTCCTGTTACAGCCTCGAGCCCCGGTCCTTGGCCCTCGTCCTGGAGGAGTCGAGTAGTGCCGGTAGATATTCCGAGGAATAGATACCGAGCAATAGTTGAAAAAAGGACGGGATCCAGAAGAAGAACTCGGTCTACGGCAAAGCGATCAGCCTTTCGACGCAAACTCACCAAGCCGCCACATCCCCTTTCCTTGCATCGTGCCATCGTGCGTTTCCTGGGTCTTTTCTTGCGTCCACCATTGAGATCTATCGATAACTGTGGTGCTGCAAAAGAAAAGAAAGCCCTTAGAGATCGCCGGCGCGTGCCCTGTGCTGTGCTCCGTGCTCGCCTCCTCGTGGGTGTTCGTCACGGAGCTTTGGTCAACCGGTCTCGTCCAGGATTGGCCTCGCATCGCCCATCAAGCGGATACTTCCCTCATCATCGCCAGAAAGTGGAGGAGGGGGCAAAAGTGCCGCTTTCATATGTTTTCAAAGATTCGTCTTGTCTTGACCTCGCCCTTACTCCTTTGCGATCATCAATCTATCCCCGGTAATACGTGTTCCTTCGCTTCTCACTTCTTTCCAGTGTCGCTCATCCTCCCCACATGCCGTTCTTGGCGCATTCCGACTTTACAGCATAGGATCATCCAGAAAGACGGACTCGAGACCAGAGATCCATCGCATAGTCTTTTCTTCTTGTTTCGTCCTCTTTCTTTTTCCCCCTCCAAAATTCCTTCTCTTTGTTCTACAAGCCGCCGCGACCGCCATCCAGGGTTTGTGAGACCTTTCCCATTGCGGTCTCGAACGTTCTACCTCTTGAATGATCTGCCATCCGTCCTCCCGGGGTTGCGATGACCCGTGATCGGTCGTGAGAAATGCAGGCAACCACTCCCTACCTGGCATTTAGCCGCATTGTGCGCAATGCTTTTCTCTGTCGCAAGCCCTCAGGACTCTCTTTCTTATTTCCCTCTACCCCTATACCCCATTTTCTTCTTCCTTTTTTCGCCCTTCCCGTTCATCTTATTCCCTTCGTTTCAATGGTTCGGAAAGAGCTTGGCCCAGGGCCCCCAGCATGGTGGGCCACTCGGGCGAACATACCAGGTTTGGCATGTAAATCCAGGTGACATTGCCGGCGTTTGCGTCCCCACGATTCTTCCCCGGGCATACAGCCCTTCAAAGAACACGAGATGAATGCCTCGGAACTGCAAGTAGGAATCGATTGAGCTCCCCTTTTCCTTCCATGCTACAAGACAGCCGACGGTAGTCCAGCCAGCTCTCGTGTTGTCGCTGCTTTAAATCTGATTATCACTATCACGGACGAGGAACAATAAAGTTGCACTCGTTGCTCGTCAAACTCGCCACCGTCAAGCACGGTAGCCTTTTAACTTGCTCCCTTTTGATGCCAGCCACACGCACCAAGGGACACAGTTGGGCCGTTCCACCCCAAAGTAACCTAGAGCAGAGGCCGCCGCTGACAAAAAGATGAGTGTTGAGGGATCCGATCTCGATGTGACACAAGTCTGCACTAAACACCCGAGGGTCAACCCTCACCCACCCCTGCGCCATCGCAGAGCATTCCCGCTTTCCCCAACGACTGCTATTGTGGCGAGAACACCCGTTCCTTTTTTCTTTCTTTCTTTTTTTTTTTTTTTTTTTTTGGTTTCCCCGTTTGACGCTTAGGCCCCCTGCGTTCACCCATTTTCTCACCTGATTGAAACCGCGCCAAGCGAACATGCCTCTTTATTCCTTGCAGACGGTAACGATATGTCAACCGCCATGCGATGGTGTGTATGTCAAGATTTTCTATATTTTCCCCTCCTGACCGTCCCTCGGTATCCACTACCACACTAAGAATAGCACATGTACAAGTATTCAACAACCCAGAATGCACCTACCCCTCTCCAGTTTTGATCAACCATATCTTTCGTCAAGTGGCGAGTGAAGGCCAGGCAAGGCACGAGGGCATCCGCCAAACGCCTTTGCTCATGTCAGACGATCGCTCGTATTTCATTGCTTCACGCAGCGAGTGTTCACAAGTTTTTCTAGGAGCGTTTTGTGGGGGTAGGCTCGCCATGCACTTCGAGGTGCATTACTCATCATCCATCTGCCCACTCTCAAAGGGGCTTGGGATGTCTGGCAAAGAACCTGCGTAGAAACATTGAACCCACCCGGATCCCTTGGATCCCTCCCCGCCTATCTCACAAAAAACATGATGGCTCGACTTTCCAATGACCATCTTTTGCTCTTTTGGGGTATTGATGATGTCGAAGGCCGAACTGGTTGCCGCCTCGATGAGATTGTGTGGCCAACCAGCCACCCTCCAGTGGGGCGGGCGAGTGAGCAGTTCAAGGGGTGTATCTCTTACTGTTTGCCGATTGCGCGTGTATCCATTCCGTCGGCTCTATAAGTGGAGAGATCCAATAAATAGATGGATGCGTTGTGCGTCCGCGTCAGCCTCTGCCAAGGAAGCGCCACGGATGGCTGAAGATCGACGAAAGGCGGGATAGCCGGCCTAGGCTTGCTAGGATGGACAGAAAGTCAAGCCCGGTTTCGTTTCTCTGGCGCCTTCTCCATAGCCTTCCTGGGCCTTCCTCGCCAAGCTCCCCTGGCCATTTTCTTTTCCTTTTCCAAAAATAAAAATAAAATCATAAATAAAATCAAAAGGACAAACTTCTCACTCCAACCACCGTCTCGCCCCCATCTCGCCCCCACTTCTATCCGGGCCATATCACCAGAAGTGGATTCTCATGTTCTTACATCACCTCCTCGTTGTGCCTCACAATGACGAATCCGCCCCTCCCCATCCCTTACCTTTCTCGCGGCACGAAGCCAAATGTCTACCGGAGCTAAAGCGGCATCCGGCCTAGCACTCAAGATAGTTGTGTGTACGCTGGGGCTGATTCGAGGGACTCTCTCCTTGCGCGTCTAGTCGAGTGCTGTCAGACAAAGCTTGAGGCCAAACCAGGGCGGCTAGCGTCTAATAGTCAGACAACCGGTAATTATACGCCTTCCTTTGATCTAAGATTTTTCCTACTTCGTAGTTTCGCCGGTTGGGTTTACCCGCCTCACCTTCACCCTCGCCTCGCGACCTCAAGTCAAGTGGCGTTTCCAATTCTTCATGTGTCTGAATGTGCTTATTTTTGCTTCGTGTGTGGAGGTCTCTTTTTCTCAGCTCTCGCCTCCCGTCCCTTGATCCGGGAAGATGAATACGTCTAGTTATAATAATACAAAATGAGGTTGTCGTGGTGGTTGAGCCGAGATGATGCCAAAAGGATAGAGAAAAAAACCCCAGAACAATGCCGACGCGCACAAGCGCAAGACCCTCCCGTAGCCAGTATCGTTACATATTTATAGCCCGTCAGCTCCTCCCCGCCTTTCCGCGCGTCTAGTACTCGTACGTTCGAATCGCAACGCTCAACGCTCTTTGGACGAGGATTTTCCTTACTCGATCAGTCGTTGGGCGCAGCTCTCGTTCTCCATCCTACCTCTCTTCTTGCATCCCATTTGTTTCGCGGCCTTACTTCTTCTCCTGCTTGCCATCATCCTCGCCATCCTTCTTCTCTTTGCCAAAGGCCTCAGTCATGTGCTCCATGATGAGGTCGGAGATGCCCTTGCCCTCTTCCAATCCCTTCCTGTGCGCCTCCAGTCTCTTCTCCTTCCACCCGTCCCCTTCATCCGCCGCGAATAGGCCCCTCAAACCAGATGGTCTCCGGCTCTCCTCCAGCCTCTTCCTCTCCTCGTCGGATAGCTGCGCCTCGACCCGCGCCTTCTCCTCACGCAACCGCCTCTGCGTCTCACGCGCCTTCTCCGGTAGGCCCGTGTCGAAGACAGAGCCCGCGCGCGTTGTGAACCGCTCGTAGATACCCTGCCCCGTGTATTTCTTGAGCAGTTGGTCCGTCGATAGCGAGAAACCGCCCGTCAGTACGAGGAAGCGGATGTCCATTTTGCGCGGGGGCAGCACCATCCCAATTGGACAGAGGACCGCCATGGCCATCCATGCGTAGTCTATTAGGGGGCGAGCCCGTAGAATCTGATCGCTGCGACATCTTTCACGCGTGTGTATCGCTTGTGTGTGTGTGTATGTGTGTTAAGTCGGTGCGCGCGGTCGTACTGAGCCTCGATACGCCTAGCTAAAACTCTGCGGGGGCAAACGTACTGCGCCTAGTGTCGCGAGCGTCTTCAGCCTGGTGTGATTCGTAAAGTTTCGTTTGGAGGGAGATTCGATTGAGGAGGTCCTTCGTTATTAATGGCACGCCATCGAAGATAATAAAGATGTGATAGGGAAATAAACGCGGCTATATAATTGAATGATCCGAGTAAGTCAGGGCAAGCGCGGCGTGGACTGCAGGCACAGAGAAGTTGAGGGGGGCGAAAGTGTGAGGTGGTCTCGAGGCTTTCGAGCGGAAAAAATTTTGGGGAGAACCTGGAGAACCACCAGTTCGGTACTCTCCGGCCGGCGAATTTTGCCCGTGTTGAGCAAGGCAAATGTCACGGGCCGGCAGCCACTAGCACGGCTGGCATTCCAACGACCAAAGGCCTTCAGACGACACAACACCGAAATCTCTCGACTTCCAGGATCCATGCCCAATAGTTGAAACGCACCCGCCGCTATATTTGGTGCCCTAGAGTGAGTACAACAATACGAAATTGATTGATTCGATGGTGGTTTACACTGGTCGGAGGGCTTTAATACATAGATATCAAGAAAACTCTTTCAACCCCTCTGTTCTGTCATCACTTTACTTGCCTTTATAAGAAAGCTTTCCTGTCTATGTAATTCCCAAAGAGAATCTATCAAACAAGAAAAATCAAGTGGTGCTACTGCTATTACCACTTCAGTCAAATTTCTTAGATGCGCCCTTGATATGTTAGCAAATAAACCTCTCAGTGTTGCATTAGGGCTTCTATTTTAACCTCTACATAACGATTGTCAATGGTTTAGGGAAGAACTATAGCCATAACCATAGGTATCTTTCTATTTCTTACGACGACCCGGCCGACTACTAGGCAAGATAAAAGAGTTGTGGATAGACTTGACTGGTAAATCCTACCTTTTCGCATTATTTTCACACACACACACACACACACTCTCTCTCTCTCTCTCTCTCTCTCTCTCTCTCTCTCTCTCTCTCTCTCTCTCTCTCTCTCTCTCTCTCTCTCTATTTCTTCGTCTCTTTGTTACTTTTCCAGCGCCTTCCAGCCGTGGCCGATAGGCCCGCCAAGGTTCAGAGTTCGGCGTCACCACGGTGTCATGCCAACTCCTTGCCCCCACCCCTCGCTCCCTTTTCTCTTCTGAGCTCCCCATCAGCCCTATGCAGTCAGCACGGGATTATCTCTCGTGCGTGTAGTGGTAACGGAAACGTATGGTTCGCTCGCCGCCGCAGTGCACCTCTCCGGGGGTCCCTGTTTGCTGACCACCATCTCGCCAGAAGCAACCATGTAGCTAGAGCTTTCAGACCAGCCATACATGTATCCTATGAACACAGCCTACCCATTCTCTCTCGTGGGACCACATCCCAAGCCCAACCTTGGACCTCCCGAAGTTCGAGCCCTCCCGCTTCCTCTACCCCCAAACCCTCGTCTGCCGCTTTTCTCTGTGGTAGACACGGATGTTATCCGTCATATTCTGGCATCCTTTAGTATGGACCACAGTTTTAGCGTGCCCCTGCGTCAACGTTACTACCAAATTAGACCTCGGGACGCACAGTCGAGGATTTCTGGAATGGCTGCGCCGCTCGTCTAAAGACCCTCTTCATGGTTAGAGGTTACCGACTCGTCCTTCCTCACCCCTTAACCATTCTAGCGGATGCATCGGCAATAGTGGGGCCTGAGTAAAATAACTCCAAATCAACCGGCTTTATAGGGTCAGGTCTTCTCCGTCTTCTAGCATTCCCTTACCCCCAGACGGTACCGAGTACACTATTGCTATAGGGGAGTTCTCAATTCTTTCTTCCCTAATGCTAATGTCCCAGTAGAGGGTGCGGGCACCCTTTACGATAGAAACCTTGATAATAAAAATAAAAATGAAAATGAAAATAAATAAAAAGGAAAAGGGGGGTGTATTTGGGATAAGGCGAGATTCCTATTTTGGAGTTCCCCGTTGACCCGACGTCAAGGCCTTTTGCGCGGCATCCTTGTCGGCGGGATGGATGGCGAACATCGGATCGGATAAGCTCAGCTTCCTGGGGGCCAAGCACGCTCTCGGCGGGCAGTGTGCTGCAAGCCACATGCGATTGCGCCAGGCGATTTCCCCAATGAGAGCAAGGTCGATGTAGAGGTAGGGTCACTCCCGCAGGCTTGCATCTACACCAGATGTGCCTCGGTAATGTAGGTCGTTACCCAGTGAAGGTGTCCGAGTTGATGGAGTGAGGAGGTCCACCAGCCTCCAACTTGTCGCGCCATCGAAGCCGCCACTCTAGACACAAGTTGCGTTCGAAAGGGCTGGCCAATTATCACGACCCTAGCCTTGGGGGCTATTGATTTACACTGTATCTCCTACTCTCATACTTTCCTTTGGTGGATTGATGAAAACGAAAAGGGGGAGATTGTAGCCCAGGATTTGGGCCATAAGATTTGAGCGACGTGTCAACGGACAGTCTAAAGAGGCAATCCTGGCGTTCAAGGGGTCATAACGATAATAACAATCCCTCTGGCTAGCAAGTACCTTAGGTGTTTGGAATGGTGTATCTTATATTAGCTTCAGGGAAGGCGGTTGAAGAGATAGATCATGAAGAGTATCTGTGAGGGCATAATGTGATTTGGGGGAGTGGGAGTGGTTTCCAGACGGAAGCAGGCTAATTAGGGGCCCAGAACAAATGGATTGGGGGCCATGAGAGCTTAAAGATAATGCAAATGGAGGAAATGGTCGGTTTCCTTTCTTAAGATAGGCTCCGCCGGTAGGGCGTAGGAGAGGAATAAAGAGTGCGTGTGTGTGTGTGTTTGGGGGTTAGAAGAGGAAGGGCCTAGGAAGAGCTATGCCCCAAGCCACTGATCTCGCAACAACAATCCGTGTTATATTTTGAGCCGCACTATTCGTGATAAAGCATGGCAGCCGGGGGAAGGCTGTGCAAGTTTGAGGAAGGAGCATGCCTATGGGTCCTGACAGGAGAGCCCACTACTCCGGCACGGCCTTGCAGCGGTCACTCCGGATCGATGTCATGCCCGGGATTAATTGTTTCGGCCACTGGCGAATCACAGGTCAACTTGTGAAATGGCGGGACCGGGGGCCGTTCTGTAGGGCTGAAAAGGGGGGCAGGCGGTCTTTCCTTGGGCGGGGTGGAGACGCTGGGCAGAGAATGGAACATGGGGTGCCATTCGGGAGCCTTGAAGGGCCTGACTTGGAGATGGTCGCTGCGCGTATGGTTAAAATCGGACCATAGGATTCGCGGAAAGACCTAGCTCTGCATATCGATGGTGTGGGTTTTCATATCCTGCATGCAGCTGTATGCTCTGCGAAAATTTTGATTTCCGCCTTTTCGGGAGAGGGCCTGCTCAGGAATTAGGAGCGCAATGGTTGAAGGTGAATGAACAACGCTGGCGTAAAAACCTAGATCCGCATCGGTGGGGAATAATAATATTTGTAAGGAACTACTTCGTAGAATCGGGGAGCAGATATCGGCTAAAGACGTCCTGAGGCTTTGGGACTTTCGCTGTCCTCCAAACCCCACATGTAGTTAACCATTTTATCTTCCATGAATAGCCGCTTATTCCTCTTTCTCCTAGATCGGCACACCGTATAAATGACCAGTTATTGCCGATTTCTAGCGATCTATGGTCGAGGAATCCTTTTGCAGTCAGGAATATGGGCTGGTTCACGATGCTGGGTGATGATGCCACAGTATTCTGCATCGCCGCCCGTGGTGGGGAGAGGCTTCGCACCCCGATTGTTGCGCCTGCATGCTGGGATCGAATGAACATAATCATACCGAGGGAATTGACTCAGAGATTTATGTTGGTGTCGCAGGATCCCAAGCTAGTATCTTGTGACGTTACCTTGGTTGGATGATAGATGCGACCTAAATTAGAGTGTTGGGGGCACGGGATTGAACCTCTTGGACCCGTCAAACCATTGCATCAACACATCAATCAACGGGTCAACGATATCGAATCCGATAATTCTTCCCTTAGTGTGGCTTCCTACTCCTACATCTCCGATCTCAGCAAGAAGCCATATTTGGACCTTTGATAATTGCCGTGTCAGCAGTTTTTTTCTTTTTCTCTTTTTTCTCTTTTATTTTATTTTTTATTTTATTTTTTATTTTTATTTTTATTTATTTTTATTTTTATTTATTTTTTATTTTTAATAAATCCTCCTGCGCAAGGACCAGGGGAAGGGGTACTACGAATCCCTCAAGATGGATCAATAGGCGCAAACTAAGACACGCACTGTTTATTTCTCTCTCACAACCCCCATCTCGACCGGGCTTGGCAGGGCTGTCAAGATTTCCATAGGTACAGTGGCAGTGGGCCACCGAGACGGCAGCCTCTCGGCGTTTCCATATTGCGACGGTTGCATGACTGCAGGATGCATCGGAGCGTGGCCAAGTAGGGACTCTCGCCTGCTTGTGTCCCCGTGTCCTCTAATGCCGCGACGACTGTTTATTGTTATTTCCCCACCTTTATTTCGCGAGGAATGGACCTTCACATTTTCCTCGTTTGCATGGCAAGGGCTCGCCGTATTTTGTCAACAAGATGGCGATCGAAAGTCGAAACTGATCCACCTTAAGAGGTGTGGGTTATGTGGCTCGAGATACCCACAAGGCAGGGTTGTATTGACGCTGGCCTGTATCATGAAGGCCAGGTTGTATAAATGGATCTCGTACGAGGCACCTATGGTAGAGCCATGCAAACCCCCATAAACAGCGGCTGGCCAGCACATGTTTGAAACTGAACCGGGTAAACCCCCAAGATCTTTCCTGCGGCACAGCCACTTCAGTAAATTCGCAAAGCTAGATCTACACCGATCGATCTATTCAGGAAAGAGCTCAACAGACCTTGGAACTACGCGCGCCTCTATTAGTTCAGGTAGCATCTGAACTATACGGAGCTCAGAAGGGCAAAGAAACAAAAGAAGGCAATGAGGGAAAAAGTGGCTCGGAAATTCTGTACGGCTGCGTATGGGGCTAAATCGATACACTACATAGGAACTAAGTTCATGGATCGTGTCAACTGAGAGGGCAAAACTAGCCGCTCCAATGTTGGCTTTGAGCTGGTCATGTCAACCGCGAACTCTGGTTACGAGGCGCTTAAAGGGGGATCAATAGGGAAAGAAAGATTGAAACCTCTGAGGACTCCAAGGAAGGCGCTACGCTGTCAAAAGGCTCAATGTAGCAAGAGCTGACCATGAGATGATGGGAGAGGGGAGGTGTGCCGGGGCGCGGTGGCGGGTGGTGTTCATCGTGGGCTGGGGAAGGAGGGTCGGAGGGTGTGATGGTGAATATTCAAGAGAAAAGGGTTGGCTCGCCCGGGTTGAGCTCGTCGATTGCATGGTACATTGGGCACATGCCCCGGGCGCCCTGGGCAGCGGGAAGGCGGTACCAGCGAGTTGATTGATGAAAAAGGGCGGTGCGCCCAACTTTCTCTCGGCCGACGAATCAGTTGGTCCGTCAGCGGGGACGGTTGAAATAGGATTGAGCAAGCCGGCTGAGCCGTCATCCACAAAGGCCACGCAGATCAATGTCACTGCCGAACGCACCACAAGGACAACGTCAACCAGTATTACAATCGTTACATCACTATCCCCCTTTCGTTCCACCGAAACGGAACTTCTGCAAGATCACAAACGGGAGTTGAGTCGAGCGGCCATCACAAGAAGGTGGCTGGTTCTCGGCATCCACCCGGCCTTGGGGCTTGAACCTGGTGTTTAGCTGGCGTCGTTCTGCCAAGCGGTGCCGGGGACGCCATGTACACCGTACGAGACGAGCCACCGATTTGATCGTATCGCGGTGCCGGTACTCCAACGTTGCCTTGTACTCTCTCGCTGCACGCAAGGGGGCAGATGTATCCCTCCCATCGTCGAGTTCCGCTGCAACTTACCGTTCCATGAGAGTCATCGAGGGTAAGGTTGGACGGGGTGGGTATTAAGAGACTCGTATCTCCACATCTGCTCCCTCCTCTCTTCCATTCTCTTTTCTTCGAGAGGCGAGCTTGATCTTAAGTGTCTGGATACCCTGATTTCGCTTCGACTTGGGAAACTGTGCAACTGTGCAGCTTGTCACCGAATAAAATATATATCTCGTGTGCAGCCCTCGTTTCTGACACCCGGTTTAAGGAAGGTGTGTTGATTTCCGAACATCAATTGGCTTCCAGGCTCCTGGTTGCACCAATATTATTAGACTCTCGACGGTAAGTCTGGGAAAGTGGTTTGATCTTTTCTGATCCCGCTGAGTTTACCTCCTCTCTTCTCCTTGGTCCCTCCTCAACACCAAAATCGAAATTTCCTCCACTAACACCAAGACGAGACAGAAAAAACCCCTCGTGTCTGGATCCGCTGGTCTCATTTCGTGTCGGCACGCTATATGCACCAACAATTCTCCTGGCCACATCAGCCACCTTTTTCTTTTTTTTTTTTTTCTTTATGCTTTATTCCAGCACGTTCACGGCTTTCTCATCGTTCAGCTCCGTCACCTCTACTAATTTGCGTCCAACTCTCAAATTTTCGTTAAGAATCACTTAGGCACCTAATGTGCGTGAGTGGTGACGGGCTACAGAATCCCGAAAGTCAACCACTACTTCCCTTGCGATCATACATAGTGGAACCCTTTACATCGCTGGCCGAAACCCTTCCCAGGATAGGGTTGTTGATCGTTAGGGAGTAGTCAAGAGTGAGTTCGTTGCTGGCATTCGATTTTCTCTCCTTCACTAGTTTCACCACCCTCTCGCGCTCAATTTGGTGGCCCAAAAGCAAAGTATCCTCGAGCAATCCCCAAGAAAAAAAGTGGAATGCCCTCCAGTTGTTTTACATCAGCTCCCACATTTCTCCCATCGTACGTCGGCCAAGGCTTCACTGTCCAAAGGTGGACACTCTCTCTTGAGATCATTTATGTATGGGGCTATACTGATACAAATGCATCCTGCAGGAGATTCTTGTCCTGGGTCGAAAAATATCCCTCCAGCTAGCCTCAATTTAGCAGGTGGTGTCTCAAGGTATGCGATTTTGACCTCTGCGTAATGGCAGTGCCCAGCTTGACTTGTCTTACTCGGTTCTTTGCTTTTTTCCTTCTTCATCGCTTCTTCTTTGACACAATTCTTCCTCATAACTGGAGGAAACACGAGGAGCTTCCCACAGCTTCGGACCTAAACCGCCTTCCACTGACTTCAATGAAAAGGGTACATAGTCCCTCTGATTTGCCTAGAGGGGTCTTTTCGGCCCGCGCTCGCGCAAGCGATATCCGTGGACTTGTATTGATTTTCCCGTAAGCCGACATCCCTAGGTTGCATAGCCTCTCCCGAAAACATTTCTGTAATTTTTCATTCTCTACTTCTTGTTCCTTTTTCATTACCCTCGCTTCTTGGCTCTGGAGAGAGCCCGCAAGTTGAGATATCAGTTGCTTCTGTTGTATTTATGGGAAAAACTAGCTAGAAATTGGCAGTGCTGACTCCTTTATCTACATCTAGCCCGAGACTAGCAACATTAGAGAACCGCGTGTTTCTCCAGCTCGCCCTACTTATCCCCTCTCCCCACCCTCACTACGCCGAGGGATATCTGGAGTATCACATAGGGCGCTGGTGAACCCCAACTATCTGAATTGCATTTGGCCACCATCAATTGCTTGTCGCCCAAACACGGCCATTGCGGCGCTTTGCATCGTAGCTGTTTAGGACTGGTTATTTTTGGCTGGCTCTTGGCTTTCACTAATATTGCTCAAGACCCAATTCCATTCAACACACAGACCTGCGTCTCCTCCCAAGCTGTAACCCAAGCATTCAGCGACGCCAAGTCATTCGTCAGCAGCTCATACCCCTGCTCACTTGGTCTCCTTTTATTCCTCCCTTCCGCCCCTCATTTGCGTCTGGCTGTCGCACGCGTGCTTGTCACCAAGGCTCTCTGATTGTGCACAGCAACTTTAGCCTTTCAGCGAATGCCCGCTTGGGCGCGCGGTCGTTAGTTGCTTTTTTCTGTGGGGTTTTCTTTTTGCCTCTCGCCTGGTCGCAAACGCCCCTCTCCTCGTCCGCTTCCGAGCAAGAGCTCCCCATTTTCACGTGCGATACCGTTTTGGCATTTTTTGTCCTTGGGAAACGGCCGCTCCCTCAGGGAGCATCGCGCAATCGTCAAACCGCCCCATTCCGGTTTCCCTCTCCCGCCCTTCAGCATCCTTTCAGGGATAACTTCATTGCCTAAGTTACGATCCCGCTAAGATGTCGCCCTCTCCGAGCGCCATAGCTTCAGCTAGCCACCCTTCCCCAGCGTCGTCGGGGCAGGCCTCGCAGGACCGGCCGAGAAGGAACAGGACAAGCAAGCCCAAGGTAAAGACGGGCTGTGCTAACTGCAAGTAAGTCGCAACACTCGCATTGTACTATAATAATATAGGCCTAAATCCAAACTACTCTTGCCTCGGCTTCTGCGCGAACCCGAAATTTTCGGCGTAGGCTAACATTATCGCAATATAGGCGGAGGAGAATAAAGTGTGACGAGCAGAGGCCAAGCTGCTCGCAATGCGTCAAATCTCGAAAGGAGTGCCCTGGTTATCCAGCGCCGAGCCGAAGTGCGAGGCCGCACGAAGTCATCTCCATCGCCCCGAAGCCGCAACCTCTTCTTGCGGCCGCGCCAGCTCTCCAGCCGGCACCCGTATCCCGACCCCCATTCCTACTGTCCCATTACCTCCTCGACGCGCAGCGAAACAGGTCGCTCGCAAGCGGATGTCCCCATCAGCAACCGAGATCGGAGAACCATCGAATGCCAATTCCTTGACCCTATATCGACCGAGCGTAGCCGCTTCTTTGCAGGAGCAAGAGGGTCTTTACTTCCAGCTTTTCCGAAGCCACACAGCGCGTGAGTTATCCGGATTTTTCGACTCTGTATTCTGGACTCAGACGGTATTGAGGGAATCTCACTCTGCGCCAGCCATCCGTCACGCCGTCATCGCCCTCGGCGCTCTTTATAAAACGTTGGAGCAGTCAACCGCGTCGCCCCCGGGTTCCCCGTCGCGCAGTCTTGATGTAACCGCCTCGGCTGCATCTCACTGGCAGGTTGCCATAAAGCAATACTCGAGGCCATCACGTCTGTTGTTGCGCTCTCTGGGCAAGGCCAGGATGCCCACCGAATCCTCCTCATGGCGACAGTGCTGCTGGCCTGCTTTGATTCCTTCATTGGCGACCATAAGCAGGCGATATACCAAATTCAAAACGGTTTACAGCTTCTTGACCAGCTGCGAGCACAACACTCGTATTCCCAGACAGCCGGTACAGAACCCGTGGAGGACGAGCTTGTCCAGATGTTTACGCGCCTAGCTATCCAGGCCAAGTCATACGACATGGCGTTTCACTTTCCCCAGCCGTACGTCATTCGCCTGACGCCTCAGAACCATGATGGCCAGCGAGCAGCCTCGCCGCGCTCAGACTCAAGCACGGGGTCTCACTCAAGCCTTAATCCTCAAGCTACGATACCGACGCAGTTCAGCACCCTCCTCGAAGCTCGCCGATCGTGGGATATCCTTTGTGAGAGCTTGCTACGCTTCACTGAAACTCTCTTCGTAGCGCATAATCCAAGCGGACCCATGGGTATCCTCCCGCGTGCATTAAAGAGACACGGCCTGAGCTTCAAAGAGAAGCTCGAGGCTTGGTCAGACGCATTCCAGCCGCTTCTAGACTGCAGAAGTGGTCCTAGCGTTAGCTATCAAGAGAAGGCAGGCATCGCGGTGCTCAAGATGTTCCAGACCATGGGTCAAATCTTGTTCCTCATGACCTTTGCGATTCTGAGTCTCAATTCGACATGTACGAGTCGCAATTTAAGTCCATCGTCGATCTTGCCTTGGAGGTGGTTGGCGACGAGGAGAGACGTGCCGCGATTGCTAGTTGCCCAGACCCCTCGCAGTGCACTCACCGGAACCTCGCCACAGACTTTCTCAGCGGGCAGGAATACACCGCCTATCACGTCAAGGCGAGCTTCAGCGCCGATCTAGGCATCGTGCCACCACTGTATGTAGTGGCGACGAAATGCCGGAATCACTCGATCCGGTGGCAAGCCATCCGCCTGCTGAGGAGCAGCTCTAGGCGCGAAGGTATGTGGGACAGCCTACTTACCGCGCATATCGGAGAATGGGTGGCGACAATCGAAGAAGGCGGAGACGGCTCGCCGACCGTCCGCTCGCATCCTAGCAGGAGGTCTAGCAGCAATGATTCCCTGCCATTTAAAGACGATGTCGCCTTGGGCCCTGGCGGAAACGCGAGGTGGGACTACCGAAGAGACGCCACAAGTCCGGGCCCAACGGTCGCTCCTCTAAGAGATGGGTCCCCGAGGATAAGCGAGTCATGGTGCGGTCGGTCGACTTTGATCTGAAGACGAGATTCGCCCGGCTTACTGTGGGAACCCGGGGGTTGATGCCTGGCTCCATCGACCTGCGTGCCCGAGAGACGACTGTCCGTTGGTGAAGCTCTGTCAGCGCATGTTTACACGAGTACACCCTTGCCCTTCTTCCTATTCCTCCTCATCTTCCTCCCGTGCCCTCATCATCTCGACCAGTAGTCATTATACACCGTCCCTATTTTTCTCTTTCCTCCTTTTCTTTTCTATTTCTCTCTGTATCAGAATATAATTTGACGAAAAGAGCTTATACCCTGGCGAACAAGATCGGACGGAGCAAGGCATTTTGGGTTTCGGTTAAAATTCCTTTTCTGTCTCCCCTTTTTTCCAAGAGGGGCATTTTCTTTTCTCATTCTCCGTGGCCATCCTCTATCTACCCCGAGGCTTATGGGGGTATGGACATTGGATGCAGGAACAATAAAGTATTACCACGGATTTCTTTTTTTTTGGGAGGGGGTCCTGGAGAGGTTGGTACATACACCCGGTCTCCCTCTTGGACTATTATACGGCGTCTTTTTTTCGGGGATTTGTTGAGTTTACCATCATATCTGGAGCCTTCCGTATGATCCCTGATCATATCAATGGAGCTCATTTCTTTTCCTTTTGGGTATTTGGCTTCATTCTGGCTTTCGGGGGTTTTTTTCTTTTTGAGTTCTTCTCTTATTCTTCCTGAAGATCCAGGTCTTGGGACGGGCGCCCCAGGCGAAGAATTCTGCCTGTCCCCGGCGGTACATTGGCTTGAGTCACTTCACTTCTTCTTTCTCTTTTCTTTGTCCCCTTTTTCTTCTTCTTCATTTCTTTTGGGTTTCTATGTGGTGTCATGAGCGGTAGGCATATATACTTGGATAGGAAATTAGACGAAAGCCCCAATCGGGCATTCCCGATCTCTACATCGAATAGCCCCTCGATGCGCGTGATTCTTGTTTCTCAAGCTCCATTCTTCTAACTACTAATTCTAATGTTTTAGCCTAGTTTGTTTAGCTCCGTCAAGCTTTACTATGGATGAATGGGTGCGAGGTTGTAGTTCAGCTCCAAGGATGTCCTAGGTATACGAAGGCATGGTGAGGTTATTAAATGGAGCGAAACCCTACGTTGGCCCAGGATAGTCGAGGATGTGGCAGCTCGAATACCTCTCTGTTTAACTCTAATCTATTTCTTATCTTTTCCCTTGTCTGTTTGCTGTTTTCGCCCCTCTCCTTTAATCACCTCACTGTCTATCCCTGTACTGGTTTGGACAAATACGTTTCCTTGTTCCTCCACCTAATTTTTCGCTTTGGCCTTAAGCTCGACAGTTCTAATCTCCTCCTGTATTGGCACGAGATACGGACAAGAGATGGGATGCAGCGTAAGGAAGAGAAAGGGGGGCTGAACAAAAAGAAAATATGGCGCTATTCCACATGCTCGCGCATTTACGCGTCCAATCCATCAAACTCGACGAGCCGCGTGACGAGACTGATGACCTCGTCTGCGTCGCGCCCGCCAAGCCCACTGGCCACGTTGGGGTTTGAGCCCCCTATCGAGTTCATCGCCTTCAACACGCCGAGCGATGACTCCATCGAGGAGCCGGCGTAGCCTGGAGGCTAGAACACCGACGCGGGCCCAACCACGGAGACGGAGCCAGCCGTCTAGGAGGAGGCCGCGACCGAGGGTGTCGAGGGTGATTGGGCCGGCGAAGAGGAGAAGGGTGTACGCATTGAGAGCTAGCAAATGTAAGTTATAAGGAACGAATCTCGAAAGGGAGGGAGTAATAAATAATGTACACTATAAAAAGAAAGGAAAAGGGAAAAGAAAGGTAGAAGGAGAGACGACTTACGAGTTAGGTCTCGGATGAAGATCTTGCTCGTAGAGATCAAGCTAAAGTACGAGACAAAGGCAGCGCCGCTGGGGAAGGACTGCGCGCCAAACAAGGTGCTGCTCGGGTGAATGAAAACACGGCCGTTGTCCTGCGTAAAGTACTTGATCATACGAGCTTCTGGGTCCATCTCCACGGCGCCGGAGACGGAGCTGATAAATTTCTTGTCCGGGAACTGGATACGGGCGATTTGAGGGGTAAAGGCGGCAGCCGTAACGGCACGGAGGAGCGAGTTGTTGGATATGTCAGGGGAAGAAGCGCCAGCCGGAGAGGAAGAAGAGAAGGGCGAGGAAGAGGATGAGCGTGGCCCCGAGTCAGAGACGGACGAAGGCGAGGTTATACCCGCCTCAGATAAGGCAGCGTAGTACTGGATGCGGGTGGAGGCGATATCGGAGAGGGTTTGGTAGGAGAGGAAGTTTTCTTCGCAAAAGGCGCGAACCTGCCGCTGCGGCACGCGGTTGCGCATCATGCTGTTCCACTGCTGAAAGGCGTTTAGGTCTGTCAGCAGGTCTCCGTCGCCGCGGGAGAAGTGGGCACGGGCGTCACGGGCGAGGTCACGCTTCTCTGCGGGGGCGACAAAAGGGCACTTGGTGCTGAGGATGGCCGCAACGGTGACGCTGTCGTCGAGGCAGCCAAAGATGCTACCGTAAATCATGAGCTTTCCACAGCGAAGATCGGCGGGGATCATGGACAGCTGGCGACCCAGAGCCGTCAGCTCGTCGCCGTCAAGCGCGCCCATGCGACGGAGAATCTTGATCGCGCCCTCCACGGCCGTGGCGTCGGGCGGGGTCGGTGACCGGCCGAGAAAGTCTGTCACGTCACGGATGCCCATGGCGCGTACGGACAGGCAGAGCTGCTCGAGGGGCACGCGCCTGATCTCGGCTCGGGCCGCTCGGCCATCTGCTGTTCCAGGTTCCTCGTGAAGAGTTTGTAGCACCTGCCCTCCTGCACGCGACCGGCACGGCCACGCCGCTGCTTACACGCGGCTCGGGAGGCCCAGTTCTCTTCGAGCTTTCGCATGTTGTTTTGAGGGTCAAAGGTCGTCTCCTTGACCTTGCCGCTATCGATGACCGCAACGATGTCGTCAATGGTGATGGATGTCTCGGCCACGTTGGTCGCGACCACGACCTTGCGCTTCCTGGCGGGGCGCGCGCAAAGACTCGCTTCTGCTCCTTAGTCTCTAGCGATGCATGGAGGGGCAAGACGTGCAAGGACCCGAGCGAGCGTAGCATATGGCACGCCTGATTGATCTCGGCTACGCCCGGGAGGAACACGAGGATGCCCCCGCCTTCTTAGCCGCTAAAAGTTCCGAGTCAATGGCGCGAGCCGTCTCCGCGATGAGACTATAGTTGATCCGATGGCCAAGCTTCTGGATGGTTTTGCCTACGGCCTCGCCATCCAGGCCTCCGTCGCCGTAATATTGGTCGTAGCCATCAGGCTGGAAGCCGGTGAGGTGGACAATGTCGTCTAGATAATAATCCTCAACGGGGAAAGTCCGACCTTCGATTTCCACCAGACCCACGCTCAAGCCCTCGGCAGCAAAGTAATTCCTGAATGAGGCCGCATCTAGTGTGGCACTCATGAGGACAAGCTTCAAGACGTCATTCTTGCGTCTCATGACCTCCCGGATAATGGTAAGCAAAAAGTCAGTGTCAAGGCTCCTTTCGTGGACCTCGTCAACGACGATATGGCTGACATCGGCAATTGATGCAATAACATCTTCAATGCGACCGCCTGAAACTTGGAGACGCCGCAAAGGACACCGGTCGTGACAAAAGTTATCCGAGTGTCGGGGCCGCGGCGGGATTCGCCGCGGATAGCATAGCCAACCTCCTCACCCACCTTAGAACACCTCTCCTCGGCCACTCTATCCGCCAATCCGAGGGCAGAAATTCGCCGGGGCTGCGTGACGAACATGTTAACACACTTGCCGAGACCCTCAGAGTAGAGATCATCCAGGATGAACTGAACGGATTGCGTCGATTTTCCCGATCCCGTCTCGCCGCTGATGATGGTGACGTTGTTCTGGGCTACAGTCCTAACAATTTGCTCCTTGACCCTCCACGCCGGTAACTTCTTGCGGCCCGCGAGCATTTCCCTCCACCCAGGAGTCTCCTGTCTCTGTTGCCACGCCGCTGTAGATGCGATGTCAGAGGCCCACTTGATAGGTTTTGGGGCCGGTGGCCTTCTCCTTCCAGATCGTAGAGGCTTAGCACCCGCAGTATGCGACTCGGAGGCCGCGGACGAGACCGAGGAGATGTCAAGTAGGTTCCCGGGGTTCTCGACAATACCATGGATGTTTTGCTGGATCCAGTCCACGACAAAGTACATTTTCATAGGCTCTCCCTTGAGGGACTCTTCCACGTATTCAAGCGCTTTTCGCAAGAGGGCCAGCTTGATGTAGGAGGGGAGATTGGCGACTATGCCGAGGAGTAGCTGCGCAGGATAACTGGGCGACATGCGGAACTGGACGGTGGCGTTGACCACTTTTTGCTGTGGTCCGTAACGTCATCGAGGCGGACTTGGATAAGGCTGGTAGACTCCCGCTTAAACTTGTCACCAAAGACCGACTCAAGACTTTCGGTCTCCTCTTGCCAGTTCTCCTCAGGCGTGCCAAAGTAAAGGCCATCGTCGTCATTCTCAGTGGTGTCGGGTGCGGCATCATCAGCTTTATCCAGCAAGATTCGCTGGAGAGATTCGGCAGCCTTGCCTTCCTCGCCCCCGCCCGGTCATAGACCTGCCGACAGAGATCGACCGAGTAGCCCGGGAGAGAGAGGCGCTTAATGGCCGCCTCGCGCTTCAGGTCGGTTGCGCCGACGCTTATTCCAGCGGCGTAGCTTTCCGGGAGTGCCCAGGATGGTAAATCATCCTCGGGGACGTGGATTAGTAGCCATTCAAGGGTTTCCTCCTTGTCCTTGCAGTACGAGGCTGCCTCTTCGATATGGCTTGGGCGGAAGCCGAGCCTGGTAAACTCAGCCACAATTCTCTTCCTCTCATCCGCAGGTATCTGGACCCCGTAGGGGTTCCAAGTCGAGGTTCGCCGCAGGAGGCCTTCGAGCTGGACCCTCACCCTCTTCCCCATCTCAATCTTAGGCGCAATGCTCCAGCCCTTCATGAGGTTGGAGGGTTTACCCGAAGAGTCGAGAACGGAACCCCTCAAGGCGAGACCAGAAGCACCCGGCATAGACTTTGCCTTCTCAGCGGCAGCCTTGGCCTCCTGCCTCTTCTTCTCCGCCGCCGCCTTGGCGTCCTCCCGATCGCGGTAAGTCTTGAAGGGATCGGCGCTATACATCCACTCTTTACCATCTTTGACGTCCTGAGTTTTGAGGGAGGCAAACTCTTTCCACAAAGAGCGAAAGTCTGGAGGCAGCACCGCATGGCGGTTCTGCATGCTGCAGACCCGAAAGAGGGCGTAGGTAGCGGCGTAATGGCGGGCCTCGAGGGCGGTAGGTTTGGTGAGTAGGTGTTTGTGGGAGGCGGGTATCTTGAAGGGCTCAAGCTTGATCAACTCCTGGGTCTTAGGGTCCTTGGCGCTCAGCGAGACCCAGCATGAGAAACCCTCGGGTGTCTTCTTCATGTCGTACACGGGTTGATTCCACTTCTGCTTTTGGCATAACTCGTTGAACAGGTTCACAGGCAGCTTGCCCGTCCAGGAGGAGCCACCAATAATCTGCTTCACTGTAGGCTTGGGCGGTGCAAGGAGATGCGATTCGGGAACCTGCTGGCTGGGATCGGGGGCGCCCTTTTTCCCCTTGGGGCCGGAGCCGGAGCCGGAGCCCGGACCACCGCTACCGCCTCCCCTGGAGGAGGGGCCGCCGGACGAGGCATCCTTGACCGGCGGGGCAGCAGGTGCGGCCTTGGCCTTGCCCTTCTTTACCATCAAATTTTCTTCCCGAGTTCCCCGGAAGAGGATAGGCAATAAAATTTGGTGCTATGAGAAGATTAAACCTAGATGAGCAGCCGAACCAAAAGCTGTACTCGAAAATGCAGAACTTGAAGTTGATTCAATCATGGGGTTTTCTATGAGGCGAATATGGGCGGGCTTCGAGGCGTGGAAGAAAAAAACCACCTCTCTTCTTTCTGCAACTGCACACAGCTGGTGGTGGAAGTAGCTGAAACCGGCCAGCCAATTTCACTTGCCTGGAATAACAAGCATCGTTAGACCTCACTTATCAAAGGAAGGAATAGGCTCGGCCCGCTCTCCACCTTCGCTCTGGCCTTCTCCCTTGTTTGCAACCGGCTTCCTTTTCTATTGAGCTTAGATAACAGTATGAAAACTCGAGCTGGATTCGTTGAACTGAATATGATGCCTTTTAATCAACTTGATACAATGCTGATGGGGCGTTCTTCCTTGGCGCACGGGCGCGGCAGTGGAGCGTTTCCATCCTGGCTCGCTCCCCATCCTAACTTTTTTATTTGATATTGGCTGACTCCTTCTCAGGGACCACTTGTGTAGCAACCGGGGATTGACACGCTGATCGCCGCAAGATTGCTGGGGTCGAGGCATGGGCTACCTCTGAGCTCAAGCTCTGATGAGCATTCTTTGCCACCTCGGGGCACCGTTCAATCGAAGCTCTCCCATCGCGATTGAGACTCAATGAGGCTAGAAGTAGAAAGCACTTTCCGCCAACTGCAGTTCAGCAAAATTTCGATACCCGTATTGATTGAAAATGAGGAGGGCAAGAGGAAAAAGGGCAAGAAGAAAAGAAGAAAGCAAAGGAAAAACGAAAATTAGCACAACGAAGGGACAGGCTGCAAGTGAAAGGCGCAGCTGGTATTATGGTGGTGGGCGTTCAATGTTCGGAATCCGAACCGACATTATCGCCCGTTTCAGGACCGTGGTTTACTGTTGTCAAGGAGATGTAGCGACGCTGTCTTCCAAACTCACTGGCTCCGTTAGCTGCTGCTCGCCTACTTCTCGTCCGTCCATCTGTGTGAGAGTTGATCAGGGTCAAATAAGGTATTATGCTCAAGGGTGACCTACGACAACAGCTTGAGACGATAGTACAGCTTCTGCACCCGACCTCAATCCTACACTGTTGTCCGTCCTCCCCTAGAATATTACACACTAAGCGAAAAGGATTCCCATTCCCTATTTGACATCAATGTTCTAGAGCCCCTCCAGGCGACCCGCCACCAGGTATCTTCTCCCAGGTAGACAACACATCGAATGACTGTGCTTGGGCGAACGACTTGTCAAGCTGCCTTCATCATGCCGGGATTGAGGGGTAACCTGCCTTCACAAGAGCTTGGCTAGTCTGTCCTAGTGGATCGACGTTAGCTAGAGGGAGGCACTGGCCTAACTTTATTACCCCTAATAAAGGCCTACGATGAAAGTTCTACTTCGTAGTCAGCGAAATGTAATGGATCAATTCTAATGGATAGATACGAAGTAGTACCTGAGAGAGCCAGCTAGTTCCTTTGAACGCTGAGGCTCTTGACCCTGTGGTCTCAGGGAGGGGTAGCTGGGCGTTGATTGTCACAGAGACAACATAAGCTCGAGCACTGAGGCATTGGATTCATGGCCAAATCACATTGCGCCCTGTAGATTGACACCTGAGCTCGGTTCATGCCCATCAACCCCTGCCCAGTCCCTGTCTGGTCCCTGACCGTCCCCGCCACGTTCCCCTTGCCCCACCTCCACCTCTGTACCTGCCCTCTTGAGGGAGGTCGTAGCCGCCGAACATGGTCATGGTTTCGTTTCGTGGATCTCTCCGCGGTTGTCACAGAAGGTGCGTCTCGCCTTGATGATGTCTCAATGTTCGGGGTTTTGTCTTCCATGTAACCAAGGAAAAGAAAAGGGAGGAGCAGGAGATATGATTCGCTAAATCTCGTTATTCATGGCTGCGCTTGGTCTTGGAAGGCTTATTCCAGTGCCCCTTTCTTATTTTGTCTCTTCGTCCACTGGCCCTGCGCTTGAAGGAGGTCGTCGTTATTAATGGATTGGGACTGGTGATTGACAACTGCGAGTGGCTAGCACTGCGCATTCCGGCCCGTGCCCCCCTCCCTTCCCCTCAGCTCATCCTAGACATCTATAATTCATCGTGCTTCAATCACTCTGCAACCCGGTCCATTCTTCATTCTCCCTCGTGCGCGCGCAGTGGAACCCCTCCAACTCCTACCACACCACACCTACCCACCAACGTGCCACATCCCCGAAACATACCACTTCCCTTATCCCACATACAACTTCACTGCAACCGCCAAACCTCCTCTCTTCTTCTCTCAACCACATTTTTCCCTGCTTCTATTCTCCCGTCTTCCCGCCTCCCGAGCGCATCTCGCATTGCATTGCACCTACATATACACTACCGCATACGCTCACCGAGTCTATTCTCCCCGTGCATTCCATACACAACTCATACCGAACCACCGCCCAACCAAACAAAACGGACGCAGCATCCATGGCTACGCGACCAGCTCTCTTCACGAGGGGCCTCTCCGGACTTGCTCAGAGCACCGACCCCGATGGTGTCTCCTCGCCGGCCGAGAAGCGCGATGATGCGAAGCGCAACTTTCTCAAGACCATGAGGCCTCTGCCCACACAGCACTATTGGAATGTTTACTTTGATAGGTAAGCTTCACGGGTCCTTCAGTTTCTCTGCTCTCCTGCCCCGCTCTTCTGCTTGCCACATCTTTCTCCCTCCCTCCCTCTCTCTCTCTCTCTCTCCCATCCCACTATGCTCCCCCACTGCCCCGCACCCTCACTCTTAAGCTCGTGGCCAACTATTAACCTCTGTAATTGCGTGAGCCTCTATTCCAGACAAAACAAGGAGCGAAAAGATGACCAAGAGTATCAAGCCGAATTCGAGCAACTTGGCAGCCAAATCGAGTCCGTCCAGGACTTTTGGCGGTACAACAATAATACACCTGTTGACCAGATCAAGATGCGCGAGTCCATCTACCTCTTCAAGCAAGGCTTCCGCCCCATTTGGGAAGATCGTCGCAACATCAACGGCGGCTCATGGACCTTCCGCGTCCCCAAAAATGCCGGTCCTGACGTATGGACTCGTGTGCAGCTCCTCGCCATTGGCGAGAAGTTTGAGAGCGCCCTTGATACCGGTATGCTTTAATCCTAGGCAGCGCCCTTTGTGGTTCCCCCATCTCCCCGCCTCTAGGTTTCCATAAACTAACAAGGAGGGTCTTTTGGCTCGCCCTACAGATGACCAGCTCTGCGGAGTCGGACTCAGTGTCCGCTTCAACTCCCACAACATCACCGTTTGGCACCGCGACTCCTCTAAGCAGAAATCCATCGACGGCATCCTCGCCTGTGTCCTTGAAGAGCTCCCCCTGAGCTTCGCCCTAAGCCTGACAACTACTTCTACAAGAAACATGCTGACCATGCAGGTTTCAAGGCTCCACCGGAGCTCCAGGCCGTCCTTGATTCCCAAAAGAGGAACGCCGAGAGGGAGGCTGCTGCTGCTGCCGCCAAGAAAAGAGGAAGAGGACGATAGCTAGCTCTTCTCCTCTTGGGTAGGCAGATATAGAGACGGCATGGAGATGGTTTTGGGACTTGTTTGATGCAAAAAACCACGTTACATCACACCACATGATTGCGGCGCTTTACAGGACACTTCTTTTTCTTACTCTTAGTATTTTTCTCTTTTTCCCCTTTCGTTTTCCGTCGTCGCTTCTCTATCTTAGGACATGAATTGTCATTTCGCATCACCCCTTGTCTTCCCTACTCTAATGAGTTTTATGACGGAAAAATGGTAGCTCATCTCGATGGTGCTCAATCTATCGCATGGTTGTCTTCTTGACACATTAGTCTCCCTTGGTTAGACGGGACGTTATCCAAACAACAGAGATTACCATTTCAATCAACTCCCAAGGAGTTTATACTCACGATAAAATATCTTACAGGTAGGGAGGCTTGGTGCCAGCTGCTTGCCCTGTATTATTATTGCTGAGGTGAAGTAATAACAAGATATAAAAAGTAGGCGATCCAATGGCCTCTTAGGGTCGCGCTGTTTGACTTATATTTATATATATTCTGTCTATATGGATATATGCAGAAAATGCTGGCATGGAAGGTTGTTGACGGTGGCATCGAGAAACAACCATTTTATGACACCACACCTTCTGCCATCATCTATAGGCTGGACTGGGGGTGACTGGCTAGGGGAGAGAGAGTAGTACATGAAAGCGGGAGAGGGAGAGAACAAAAATACGGTAAAGATATATAGACTTTTCCATATGCACACACACGCGCACAACTCAAAACACCATATCATGCCTTCCTTCCTTTCCTTCTCTCCCTCTCACCGTCTCACCCATGGGAAAGAAATCAATTAAAACTCCTGATGGGGGCCCCGTGCGCCGAAGGAGAAAACAGAATAAGAAAAGAAAAGGGAAAAATCATTTCATGTGTTCACGGTTGCGTTCCTAGCACCCCATAGCCAGCCTTTTCAGTCGCGAAAGTGTTTCTGCTTCTGCCTCGTGTTCCACCCAAGCTTCCCGCTGATGCTATTGATCCAGTCCTCACTTCGACGGCCGTCTCCTGGACGGTAGCAAAGGGGAAGCGGCTGGCGCTAATGGTGACGTAGTCACCGGGATGAAGTTCAACGCGTTCGCGGCCGTCGAAGCTGGCCCAGGAGCTGGTGCGGGAGTCGTAGGGGACGCCGACGCGGAGGACAATGGTGTCGGGGAGGACAATGGGACGGAAGGAGAGGGTGTGGGGGCAGATGGAGGTGACAAGCATGATGGGATTTTCGGGGTGGCAGAGGAGCCGCCGGCGGCGAGGTTGTAGGCGGTGGAACCCGTCGGAGTGGACACGCAGATGCCGTCGGCAAGGATGGAGGTGAAGTGCTCATCGTCGCCAAAGAGATCGAGGTTGGACAGGGTGGGGTTGGGCCCACGGTCCACGACGACTTCATTGAGCACTTCAAAGGTCCCGTCGGGGCGGTGGGTACGCACGTCGTCGTTCTCCTCGCCGATAAGCTCTTCGATCAAGTCCCTCCTCCGATTGTATTCATCTTCAGTTTCATCTGAGTAGGGCGAGTCCGCTGAGGGTTTAGATTTGATGGCGCGCATGACGGTGCCTTCGAAGCGTAGGCGCAGGCTCACGGTGACGCCCTTGTCAAAGGCCCCGTAAGAATGGACTGGTAGTCGGCAAAGTCGAATTTGGTCATGAAACCAAGACTGCCGAGGGCGAAGCTGATTACCGGAGGCACAACGCCCTGGAAGAGCCAGCTAGCAAAGAGCACAGTTCCATCGCCGCCCAAAGTGATGACAAAGTCAAAGAGGTGAGGCTTGGAGACGCAGGCTTCGGCGCTCCAGTAGCGCAGCTGCTTGTTGACCCTCTCGAAGCAGGTAGCCTCATCCGCGCCCACCTTGGCGGCGTATTCCTTACATACCGATTGGATGAGGCCCTGGGAGTCGAATCGCTTATCGTCCTTGAGCCGATCCTCTACGTAGATGGTATACCGGCGGTTCCTCTCAGGTGATAGGAGCCAGAGCGCTAGGTCCCTCGTCTTGGGAATCAGATCCCGGTCGTGAATCTTAGTGAGAATGAAGAGACTCTTCACTTTAGGCTTCAGACGTATGCTACCCAGTCTTCGGCTCAGCTCTCGGACACCCCAGGCCATCTCACTTAGTTGCTTCTTAGTCAAAAGTCGACTTGTCAGGGTTTCGTCCATCTGCGCAGACGGGATTGGCTGGGCCGCGCGGATGGGAAGGTTGCCATTTTCGTCGAAGTCATCGCAGGCGACAATTTTGTGCAAGGTCTTGTCCGCCCACGCCTGCTGATCAGACTGGCCTAAGTTTCCGGTGGATAGGGCGCGAGGCTTGGGTCGAACAGGCATGTCACTCTGCGGAGGGAAGGTGGGAGCTTCGGCGCTGTCATTTGTGGAGCTGCTGGCCTCTTGCACGGGCTCTAAGGTCCCGCTGTAGACAGGGTGGGTGTCAAACTCGGGTTTCGACGACGTCGAGGCGGAAGGCTTCCGGTGGGTGAACTCGGAGTCGTTGTCTAGTATCGCCGACGACGAAGAAGAAGAGGAAGAAGCAGAAGGATCCTGGGCGCGAAGTTGGCTTTCAAGGAATTGGTGCACCATGCAATCGGTCTTCTTCTTGGGTTGTTTCCACGAGGGCATGGCGACGTGCATAACGTCGAGAGAGCTTTTCCGGCGATGTGTCTTACCAGGATCAAAGGTGACCTGCAGCTCGAAATCACAGAAAGCATGTTAGAATTGGAAAGGGATGGAAGGGGCCCTTCAATGAACGGTGTAGAAGTTTCCCATATCTCGCCGCTTCCAGGGCAATTCGGGGCAGGATCGGGATGAGATCCACGTATATCATAAAGGGAAAAGAGGGGATTGAAACCTACCTCCATTTCGGCACGGTCGTGTCCCTCCCCGTCGCTCGAGGAGCTGTGCCCGTCATCGTCGAAGACGACGTGCTTCTCGGTCTCCGTAATCTCTACCATTGTCGTCGCAAATCGCGACTGTTGGGGGCGAAGGTGTTTATGCCGTGTGTCTAGGCACCGTAAATGCTTGTCGTATACCCCGATAGCTACGGCGACCTCATCAAACAAAAGGGAATCAATACAATTAAATAAGCCCTTAGATAAGGGTTCCTTGTAGAGGGAGTAGGAGATGTATGGAGCTGGCCGATGCTTTCTTACTTGTAGTTCTGTCGCAGTCAGGTGGCGGAGGGGTCCGGATCGGCTGATGACGTCTGCGGATCGAGGCGGGAGAGTGGGCGTATGTGTGGTCTGGTATTATCGCAGAGCTCCAGTCAAAGGAGCGGATCTTCGCAGCCTAAGGAGAGAAAGGGGGAAAACAAAGGGCAAACAAAGAAAAGATAACTAAAAATCGATTGGGCAGATGGAATTTGAGCAGCTGGGTTGGATTGAGTAGCGAAAGCTTGTGGAAATGCAATCGTACATGCACACTCCAGCCCGGATCTATTAGGTGCCTACCGGATCCGGCCTGTCTGGTTTGGCCTCGAAACAGACAAGGACGCTTCCGGCGAACTCGGGAGGAAGCGGGGTGGGCATAAGGGTGCGAAGATGTATCGCACTTGCCTAACGAAAGTTGAGGAAATCTTGAGGGCACTGTAGGAGTCATACAGTATACAAGCTACTCATTCCGGGGCTTGAGTCCAGAGTCTCTTCTAGCGATCTAGTTCTAGCAAAGAAAAGAACGCTACAAGGCATCCATCACTTGGGATGATCTGATCTTCAGCTGCTCCCCCGCCAATTTCCCCAAAAGGCAAGTATAGCTGGAATCCCATGATCCTAAAGATCCCATTCACTGATTTATAACGACACTGGCTTCCAATAGCTCTTGCGGCCAAAGTATACTTGGTAAATCTTTACCCCGCCCACCTATCCCAGGGCTTGGACCCTTCTTTGTGAACATCACTGTGAGGGGGAATCGACAGTCCCCCACGTTTGAGCCTTGGAGGCAGGCGTTCGAGGCGAGCGAGCAAGGAGGAAAGGAGAGGGAGAAAAACCACCTAGCTCAACTCAACAAGAGAAAAGAGCGTGAAACTCCCTGCTCGTACACACCGCCAACCCACCTCGCCCTCACACTATCTTCACTGTCATCAATGGCTCCCAAAGAGCTCGGCGACCCGCTGGTGCAGTCCCCAGAGGGCGTGCCCAACCCCACCACGAATGCGTGTACGAGGTGACCCGTTCTTCTCCCATTGCCAAATTACTCTTCACACCGCGCCCCTTTAGAACTGCCGGGTGTCGTTTACATTATACATTGAAGAAATTAAGAGATCAAAAGTAAAAGGCAAAATATTTTTCAAAGTTTGTTGTGCTGACCAACGAGCCGATCCATAAACTTGGGCTATCTTTTCCCACTCCGAACAGTTAGCAGATTGATGGCCCCAAAGCCGAAACGTCCACCCCCGTCCGTCACCGCTACCATCGCACGGCGGTGGGGCGGTAGCGGTCGCGACGGTCTCGGCGTCTACCTCGTACGGCCCGAAAGCCACCCTGCCACCAGCGTCATCTATCACAACGCCGACTTCGTCGCTGTCAACGACATCTACCCCAAGTCCAGTGCCCACACCCTCCTCCTCCCTCGCGACCCGACCCGCAGTGCTCAGCACCCCTTTGAGGCCCTCCAGGATCCCGAGTTCCTGGCCGCCGTTCGCGCCGAGGTGGCGAAGCTGACGAGCCTCACCGCTAAGGAGCTCCAACGGCGATTTGGTGCTACGAGCGCCGCGGAGGCTAGGAGACAGGCCGTGCTGGACGGCGACGGCGACGGCGACAATGACGGCGAGGGGAGGCGGAGCTGCCCCCGGGCGAGACTGGGAAGCCGAGATCAAGGTCGGAATACACGCCCACCCCAGCATGAGCCATCTGCACATACATGTGCTTTCTCGAGAAATGTTCTCACCAAGTCTCAAACACCGTAAACACTACAACTCCTTCAACACGCCCTTTTTCGTGGATATCAACGACTTCCCACTCGCCGATGACGACCCGAGATTAGATCCCGATAGGGAGCGGTACCTGCGCCGGGACATGGTCTGCTGGAGGTGCGGCAAGAATTTCAGGAATCAGTTCAAGGCCCTCAAGGACCATTTACAGGTGGAGTTTGAGGAGTGGAAGCACGAGTGAGAGACCTTGAGTAGGAACCGATGCCGATGTGATACCCGCCACGTGCTCCATTCCCATTCACGCCCAACCTCGCCAACACTGGCGCTCGGCGCGCATCTCCGCCACGCTATGCTAGCATGATGGTATCACGTCCGTTAAGGTAGGGCGGGCAAGGAAGAAAAATCCATGTACCTTTATTGTTAGCAGAAGCGGGATAGCTGGCGAAAACACCTCACGACGCCGACTGCTTGTGTTTTGCAGAAAAAGGAGAAGAAAAACAAGACAAAAGGCGCCCCGGCAGTTCGAACGAGGAACGAGAGCCCTTGGTCTTTTCCCTCCCATCTCGCCTAGTCCAACCAAACCAAAGTATTCCAGCCCAGTCCAAACATCCAAACACCCTAGTAGTCACACCCGTAAACAAGCCACTTATCCCGAATTAGAGGTAGTAGAAAAGCCCAAAATAAGTGGGAGGGATGGAAGGCAAAAAAAAAAAAACATGGAGATCTAAGATCCTCCTCCCCTAGGGTTCCTTCCGACCAGAAAAGAAGGAGAAACAGGTGACAAGTAACATATAAAACACCAGCCCTGATTGTTTTGTCACAAGAATAGAAGGAAAACAAGCGTGATAAAGAAGAAGAAAAAAGAAGACCGAGGGAGAACCGAGGCACAAGCTCCCCATTACACACAGTCGAAAACATGTTGACCGAGTTTTCGTCCTACGACTGCCTAGATGACCCGATGGAGAAGGGGAACCATCGTCTCGGTGTTGTGGTTGGCTGAGGGGGTGAATTTCGCGCTACGGCATCATCCTTTTTCGTGGCATCAGCGAGTCTGCTCTCTTGTTCTCCTTCTATAAGACGAGGATTTGTCTGAGCATATAGATCTGTTTGTACAAGCAAGAAAGCGCGTGACATCCATAGCTGGGGTTGCAGCGCGCTCTCATGTTGCTCACTCGAGGTAGAATTGGGTTGGGATGCAGTAAAGTGGTGATAGAGGATGGGGGATCATGAGGGGGGAAAGGGTTGGGACGGCGCTAGGGGCATCGATGCGCGCGGCTCGGGAATGATACCGTGTTTTACAAGGGGATGTGAGATGGCTTTAAGAACGGAGCGCTCCTGCGCAAGAGGGCAAGAAAGGGAAACTGATAGATGGACTAACCGGATTCTTCGCCGCTGGCATCGTCGTTGCCGCTCGCGTCATCGTCGTCCTCCTCTTCGGCCTCCTCTTCGCCTTCATCTTCCTCCTCCTCCTCCTCTTCTTCTTCTTCATGGTGCTTAGGCTTTGCGCCCCTCGCGCCGCTGCGAGGCACCCGTGAGTTGCCGGCGGCGCCCTTCTTAGCCTTTACCGCACCTTCTTGCGCAGCCTCGAGCGCCGCGTCCTCCTCAGTTGAAAACTTCGACCTCGTGGCCGACTTCTTCTTTCCGCTGCCGGGAGGTCGGCCGCGCGGCCTACCGGTTGGTACGTAGGCAGGCTTCTTGGGGGTACCGCTACCCCTAGGTCGGCCTCGGGGGCGGCCGGTCGGGACGTAGGACTTCTTGACGGCGGCGACGCCATTCTTTGGCGGGCGGCCTCTGCCTCTCTTCTTGGGCTCGTCAGCGAGCGAGTCGGTGGTTGGGGCCATTATCAAGAATGGATATTCTTGTCGCGTCCGGTAATCAAGAAACGAAGCAGAACGAGAGGAGAAAAGAGAAAAGAAAAATCAAGATTTAAAGAAAATCCCCCTCTCTTCTTCAATGATAGTGCGGATTATGAAATAAAGCTGTAGAAGTGTTGATGAACGTGCGCGTTCGTTGAAGGAAGGTTCGTAAATTTATGGAATAAAAAATGGAGGAATTATTCCCTCTTGGGGGATTTTTGTTTCAAGGTGCTGCTTGGTTGGGTGGAGGCGCAGGTGGTTCCCAGGTTCTACCGTGGTACAAGCAGGGTCCAGGAGAGGGGGTTGAGTATCCAACGGAAAAGAGCACTTGAGAGAAACAATCAATCAAATAGACAGGGGAAGGAGAGATGCCGAATGTCGAGTTATCGAGAAGCACAAAATGAGGGCCCCTCGGGAAGAGATAGCACAAAATGAAGAAGAGGGAAAAGCAAATTCCTCAAGGATCTTGCTAAAGTCCTCTGCCGGTCCGAAGGCACTGCTGGGAACAAGATCCCGAACCGATGTTTTAATGCGGAAGAAAACAACGCGTTGCAGGTCGCGTCTCAAAATGGGCAGCTTTACCTGGAGAGAAGAGCTCCTTTCGTATTTGAATTTATTATTATTTGAATTACTTTTTTTTTTCAATTTTTTTGATCGCCCTCCTCCTCCCCAAGCGGAAATAGACAAAGTAAATCCCCCGTTCCCTGATATGGGGGCTTGATTAATTCTTCGATATTTTAATGACAAATTTCTTTTTCTTTCTTCTTTCATTAAATTATTGAGGGCTTTTTCCCTGGCAATGCTAGTTGAAGCACTTCGCCATTTTGGCACGGGGAGAGGGAAGCTATGAGCCGGGCCGCTCCAGCTGATGTCAGGTTGAAGACACCATACCATGATCGGGACAATTCCCCAAGCCTTTACACTACGATTCGTGCAGCTGATGAATGAGTGGTGCCTTTTGCATTTGGAGCTTCTGCTAAGGACCATCACCGTTGCCATTGATAACTGAAATTCAAAGTTCCTTTCGCATGTGATCAAGGAGCTCGCCAAACAAAAAGAAACTTGAGGGGACTCCCAGGCCTGTTCCAAGTACGAAGTAAGAAGGTCCGTCTGAGTGCGCTGGGCTGGGCTTGACTAGCTTCGCTGGCGGATGCATGGTTGGGAGAGTAGCACACACAAGGGAATCTAGTGTATATGTTTGGTTGGCGGTGGCTCCACCAATGGTGTGGCAGTATTGGTGGTCTCCCGTCCCCACATGCGCACTCATTGCACTCCAGTCACCTAGTCAACTAACAGCCCATCACTTGTCCCACCAAAGTAAACATATCTAGCTCTGGGCTCCCGGACTTGACAGGGGAAGCTTCGCCAGGGATCCACCAGATGCCAGTCCAACGTGCCTTCGATTAAAATTTTATTCCCTCCTTCCCTCTGATAAGAGCCGCCTAGTTCCCTCCGGATTTGATGTGGAGCATCCATAGGCTTCGATTCCGGTATTCCATCGAAGAGATCAGCCAGGCTCTCGTCGACTATTCTCTTGACGAGCGACTCATGCCAGCGCCCGCCGCAACGCAACATTCGCGAATGATACGATCATCAGCCTCGACTCCCTCGCTGAGGTCGAGGGATGGAGCCGTGCCTATGCACACCAGAGCAGATGGAGGTGGAAATGTAAAGGTCGTTGTCCGTGTCCGGGCCTTCCTGCCTAGAGGTATGTTGATAATGGTAGGCCCAACGGACTGCCTCACCTGAAGCGCTTCGTTCCCCTCCTTCTCTTCACGCACACAGCTGCCAACTCATGGGGCTATTATTTTCCCTCCCCTCCCACCCGTATCCTTGCTTTCAAGAGGTTACATTAAGCTTCGGTCAGAGAGCTCATCTTGAATGTCGTATGGGAGGCGAGGCCTCGGGCTTCGAAGAATACCTTATGCTAATAAGTAAACAATAGAGATATCGCGCGGAGCAGAATGTCTGGTCCAGATGGACCCCATCACGCAAGCGACGACGCTTCTGCCCCCGGATGACGATACCGCGCCATCCAAAGCCAAGTCTCGCAGGGTTGTCGAGGAAAAGACGTTTACATTTGACAACTCGTTCTGGAGCCACGACGACAAGCAGCAAGCATACGCGAACCAAGAAGACGTCTACAACTGCCTAGGCGAAGAGTTCCTTGACCACAACTTCGAGGGCTATCACACATGCATCTTTGCCTACGGTCAGACGGGGTCCGGGAAGAGTTATACAATGATGGGGAAGCCCGAGCAGCCCGGTCTAATCCCCGCACCTGCGAAGACCTCTTTGAGCGGATCGCGCAGGCCCGCGACGAGACACCTAACATATCCTATAACGTGAGGGTGTCATACTTTGAGGTTTACAATGAGCACGTCCGAGACTTGCTCGTCCCGGTTGTGCCTAATCAACCGCCCTACTATCTCAAGATTCGTGAGTCGCCGACCGAGGGCCCCTACGTCAAGGACCTTACCGAAGTTCCCGTACGGAGCTTGAACGAAATCCTCCGTTACATGAAGATGGGCGACTCGTCGAGAACGACGGCAAGCACCAAGATGAACGATACCAGCAGCCGAAGCCACGCTGTCTTCACCATCATGCTCAAGCAGATCCACCACGACATGGAGACGGACGAGACGACGGAGCGGAGCTCGCGCATCCGGCTCGTCGATCTTGCGGGCAGCGAAAGGGCAAAATCGACCGAGGCGACGGGCGTGCGGCTTCGAGAGGGCAGCAATATCAACAAATCTCTGACGACGCTCGGTCGGGTCATTGCTGCTCTCGCGGATCCCAAGCACCGCAACGGAAAGCGGCGAGACGTGGTGCCTTACCGAGACTCGATCCTCACTTGGCTCCTCAAGGATTCCCTAGGCGGAAATAGCAAAACGGCGATGATTGCCTGCATCGCGCCGTCAGACTATGACGAGACGCTGTCGACGTTGCGGTACGCCGACCAAGCCAAGAGAATCCGCACGAGGGCCGTGGTCAACCAGGACCACCTCACCACCGCGGAAAGGGATGCCCAAATCGCCACCATGGCCGAGGAGATTCGTACACTGCAGCTCGTAGTTTCGGACTCGAGGCAGCGCGAGAAGAATGTCAAGGACCAGGAAGAGAGGCTCGAGGAGTACCAGAACCGCGTGGCCATGATGCAGCGCATGATGGAGGAAAAGACACTGGTGGCCGAGGGCAAGATTCGCAGCCTGCAGACAGAGAATGAGGCGTTGCGCCTGCACCTCAAGCTCGCCCTCGAGAGTATCAAGAACCCGATCCCCGCCGTCACAGTTGCCCCGCCCTCGGATACCGCGGACTGTAAGGCGAGGGTGGCAGGCGAGGGCCACGAGGACAAGGAGAACACACCACGCCGCGACGAAGAGGACGAGGATTATGAGGATGGCTACTCGTCGGGCACCCTGCACGAGAGCGGCGATGAGGATGAGGACATGGGAGACGACATGAGGGCGCTGCTCAAGGATCTGGACCTGTTTCGGCGCAAGATTGGCGACGACAAGTCAAGATTTTTTGAGGGTAGGCGGGAGCCGCTGAGCGCACGCATCAATGTTTAAAGGGAAAGGCAGGATCCCGCCGGCGCATAGTTGATATCCCATCTTTTTTTGTCACCGGATTAGTGTTTTGTTTTCCCCTTCCTGTACTTCGTAAACATGCGTGGATGGCGTATCAACGGGCAAATCGGCATAGCAATTGTGGGTGTTTTTTTCACCGTTTTATTATGTAGAGTTTTGTCTTGCCTCTATTATTTTTCTTAACTTCTTTATGGAAATGAGCGAATGAATACATTTCTTTGTAGTGTGTATATGCGAATACAATTCAGACTTGAAAAGCTTCCATTCCATTGAATTCATTTTCACTGTCTCCCCCAAGTATCCTATCCTTCTCGGGAGTCTGGAGGAAGGGGAGGCTCCTTGAACCTGACATCACCAACGTCAAACAAGCACTAACGAATGCTCAAAAAGGGGTGAGTTAACGAGCTTTTCTTCCGACTCCCGATGGCCACGCTCCTCACTCACGAGATTCCCATGCCACCTTGGTCAGCATTTCTCAATCTCCCCTTCTTCAGAAAAGTTTGATGTAGGCGAGGTATTTCTTTTCCCCCTTCTCCTTGTCTCTTCCGAGCACCAACTCCAATATCAGGCGCCTTCGGTGAAACCCCTCACTTTTAAAGAATGAAGGATATCTTCCTAGTTGGTGCGTGTTATGTCGACACGATCTTGAGGTATGTACCACGAGAAGAAAAGCGGCTTGCCTTTGTCAGGGAGGGGAGAGGAAGAGTCATTCTCATCAGTGATCCTGCTTCCCCTTTTTCTTATCATTGTCGGCTCCTTGCTAGCAAGAAGGGTCCTTCAAGGCTAAACAATATCAATCTCTGCGTCGTTCTCGGTCCGCCGCCAGTGTCCCGCACTATCCCGAGGAAGACTCCAAGCTGCGTGCCGAGTCCCTTGCCGTCCGCCGCGGGGGCAACTGCCCCAACTCGCTCGAGGTCCTGGCTCAGCTCCTCTCGACCAGTGCTTCTCTTTCTCCTTCTCCCTCCTCTATTCGGCCGTCTTCATCTTCGGTCCCGGTCCCGGCACCGGCCCCGGCCCACCTCCCCGTATCCATTCCTCGTACGCATCTGGTAAGTTGCCTCCCCGACGCCAAGTCTAGCGCTACGGCGCGTATCAAGGCCTCTTTATCCCGTGCGCGAGGAGGAGAAGCAGCGGGGCTGGAAATGAGGACGATACCGAGGCCCGGGCCCGGGCGGCGGGGTTCCTCGAGTGGTGTATTTACAGGAAGGCGTGGAGGAGCCGGCGAGCAGCTTCATTGTGCGGAGCTTGCGCACGGGAAGCCGGACCATCGTCAACTACAACGGCATAGACGAGATGACGGTAGAAGAGTTCAAGACCGTCGTCGCCAGATTCACGGCGGGTAAGAATGAGGCCGAACTGGGCAAGAACGGTTCCTGGTGGCACTTTGAGGTGAGACGAATCAAAAGAAGAAAACCAAGGGGAGGGCAAAGATGGTTCCCTCTTGCGGAACAAGATTCACGTCCCTCTTTTCCCCTTCGCCCCCTATCCATCGCGACTCCTCTCGCTGCCATAGTTCTCTACGGCCGCTTTTCAATCTCCATCGCAACATCCTGGGCCACTTCTTTAGATCTGCAGCTAGCACCGGTCCCTACATGGTGAAGCTTTCAAACGGGAAACACTCACCCATAGTTTTCCCCGAGCGAACCGACGCTGATTCCCAGTCCCAGGGCCGCATCCCAGAGACTACACTCAAGTGCATTCGACACCTTCGTTCTCTACTCCCCACCGCTAGCATCAGCGTCGAAGTAGAGAAGCCCGGGAGGGAAGGGCTCACGAGCCTTGCGGAGGCGGCCGACGTCATCTTTTACTCGCGAAGCTGGGCCGAGGTAAGTTGAGCCTCCCCTCCACTTTCCTTACCCTCGTGATCATTTCGATGCCACCCCTTAAGATAGCATATCATATAATCCTTCTCCCCTTCTCTTGCTTTTCCGACCTCTCTCTCCGAATGAAGTACAGGGACTAGAGAGGTCGCAAGGGCCAGAGAAGAGAGATAAAAGGTGGTACAGAGATGCCTTCCTCTCTACGCCCTCAACTTTTGGGTTTGACGGACATGTGCATGCCCGCTAACAAGTGCGGTGCGTAATCTGCTGCACTTGCCATTTTGTTCATAGGCCCGACATCACAGCAATGCAAAGGTGTGCCTTGAGAAAGAGACGCCAGCAACCGCGTAGGTCTTGCCTGCTTCGCTCCCCTTTTATCTTCCTTCTTCCCGGAACCAGTGCGTTGGCAGATCTCGCGTGGCCTTTTGGCACCTGGATATCTTAAAAGGCCGGGCGCAGAAGGGAACTGTGGAAGAGGGAAAGGAAGGAACACAGACGTCCTAGTGGTTCCTCCTCTCGTCATTCTATCTCCTTGGCTAGGTCTTGTTTGAGGCAGTCCAGCGTGACGACGCGGTGCCTTCTTTTCTCACTTTCTCAGAACTGACGACTGGCCGTGATCAGGTCGCTGGCCTTGTGCACATGGGGCTCCGAAGGCGCAACGGCCCTATCACTCCCCGATCGCCGCCCACTGGTGTGCCCCGTTAAGAAATCTAGTGCCGGGGCTCCTCCCAAGGTTGTTGAGTACGTTTCATCTATGCCTGCCCCAGATTGCACGAACTTGAGTTGGCCCCTTGCCTTTCTTCATCTTTACCTTGCTTCATTTCTTGTCTTCCTATCAATCCCACTTTCTTCGCTCCCTCTATGCGCTTTGGGCTATGCGGGGTCGGCGCGGAAGCATCGAGAAGAAGCCACCCAGGCCACGGTTCAAATGTTGTTGCATAGAGATGTGTGCTTGCCTTCTGGCGTAACAGGTCATTTGGTCGGTTGCAAGAGTGAGCCGTTCCTTTGTCAGTTCTCACTCGACATGGTTCCCGAAAAAAAGAAAAAGGAAAGACATCTGCTCGCCTCCGCTTCTGCATCGCCCTGCATGCTTACCCCCACCCTCTTTTTCCGTTTGGTCTCTTTAGACAAACCCCGAGAGCGGCGTTCGCCCCCCCATCCTTCCCGATGAGCATCCACCATGCTGGTGGAGATGCTGTGGAGGGCAAGACCAGCCTGCCATTCTGGTGTGTCATGAAGCCAAAGACTGACGGCTTGGGGACGAGCAAAACTGAATAGCACGATTGGAGCGGGCGACACTTTCATCGCCGGCATGCTGTATGCCTTGACGTGCCACTCCGCGGACTGGGACACGAAGACCAAACTCGAGTTCGCCGTTGAGTTGGCTACTCTTAAGGTGCAAAGGGAAGGGTTCGAGGGTCTTGGCCAGGATGTCCAACGGTGGCTGTGATCCGTTCTATACGGCACCTCGTCTCTCCTCGAAAGGCGAAGGGCCCGCGCTTGCATTAGTTGGCAAGTTGGTAGCCCAAGGGAGATGAATGGGAACACCCATGCCTACCCATGCCCTCTTCTTCGTCATCTCCGGATCGCAGTTTCCGTGCATCAATAAAAGGGTCTTGGTTTTCTCTTTTCTTTTTCTTTTTCTTTTTCCCCCTCTCAGTTTAAAGGGGAGCTAAACTGTGGTCAACGAATACGGGCCAGGGGGTCAGATGATCGCGAGGGGTATTTCAACTTCAAAGTTCCCACTCCCCATCGCATGTTGCTGCCGCTCCAGGAACTTGGGCGGAGCATGTGGGCGCTTCGTCAAGAGCTCCGTGTGTGCGAGATTTTGGCGCCCGGCCTCGTCGCCCAACGACCGCACTTGCATCGTTGATGGGTGGTGCTGAGTCGCATTTTCCATTGTGCAGCCAGGCCAGCCCAGTGGTAATATCCCCTCGGCTTGGACGGACGGTTCGCCTTCCTGCCGGCTTCTTCTCGCGGTTGCCGCACACTCCTTCTCTCCCACTTGATCCGACCCCACCACCTCACCGCTCAGGGATGCGTGGGTTGTGTTGTCAAGGGAGGTAATGGGGGAGGCGTGAGATCGGGTCGTATTGACACTGAAAAAACGGGCTGGAGTTTAGTTCGGTCTTCCCCATTCCGTCGTGGCATTGCTTAATGGCCGAGCTAAGGTGGATAGAGCAGGTCGTCGCATAGGCACAGAGTAGTGCCTGGGACGTCTCCGTTGGTTGATGTGAACAATATCGCCTGCTGGCATCCTCGATGCAGCACCCCATCTCCGCACCCAGTTCACCCCACAAATTGAGGGGGAGAAATGCACATTCACAAAGGGATTTGAACACTAATAGAAGCAGTGTTACTTGTAGAAAGTTGCGGCCTTCTCATCCTCCATCACCCTTTAGCGCCCCCCTTTACACGAATCAATCAATGTCTTGTGCATCCTGCCTTTCTTCCAGTTTTCTCTTCTTTTCTCCAATTTTTTTTTCAGTTTCTTTTTTATCTTTATCTTTTGTCATTTGGTCTCTCCCCTCCTCCTCCCTCTCAAAAACCAAGGTCCAATAGAATCGAGCAAAATAAGGGGGAATCTTGTTAAGCTCTGGTGGCTTTGGACAATCAATCAGTCGCTGGATCAGACAGATACTTGAACTGTCCTGCTTGCACACGAAAATGGGCATGTGAATACCCAAGAGCCGAAAACAACCACCCTTCAACAAAGGGGATTCGGGGATACACGGTCTTGCCAAGCGTAGTCAGGCCTGCTTGTCGTGCAGCAAATAGGCCCTCCTAGAACGAGGCTAGATTATGGACGGAAAAGTGATCAACTTGAAAAGAAAAGAGGCGGTGAAGGTCCGGAAAAATGAAGGGTTGACTTAGGGGACGTTACTGGATTGTGAGTGGTCTTCCAAACCCCCTCATTTCTCTAGTTCGATAGACTCGAGGCCTCGCTTCGTTCATAGGTTGTTGTGCATGAGCAAATCAGGGCTAGACATCCGAGCCATTGGAGTATATTTGACCTCGGGCGCCTAGCTCTAGCTCTGGATCGGAAAATGAATCGTGGGCTTTTTAGTGCGAGGAGCCAACCTCCGGTCGTGTTTGGTGATTCTGAAGGAACCAGCCCCTTTCCCCAAAATAAAAAAATCAAGAAAAGAGAGAAAAATAAAAACAAAACTGACCTGCCGCTTGTAACTGTGAAGAGGGCCAGTTAGCACCCGAGACCTATTCATGTACGAGCGTCAGGGTTCCAGCCATGTTTCCGAGACATGGTGACATCACCACCTGTAGGGTCGTTCGCCTGCCTGCCTTTGTGGTGGTGCGTCCAAAGGACAAAAAACGTGTGCTTGGTCATTCGCGCACCATGGTGCGGTATCAACTCCGAATGTGGATGACCCAACATGGATGGCTTGCTGCTTCCCCCAATATGCAGACTCTCAGGTCACGACCGGCCTCCCCTGCTGACGATCGGGCCCAGCTTGGTGTTTCCTTCTTGCCCGTATTATCCCATTACCGAAATGGCCAACGCTCTGACGAGGGCCTCGCTTGGGGTGCATATTATATGTAGGATGAGAGAAGGGGTGAGGGTGTTGTCTTTGTAGCTCGTTTTGGAGTGTAGCTCGTGGGTGTGCGTGGGTTAAGCTAGGCACTTTCTGGACTATGTCACCTATAGCCACTTCACGTCAGAGATGGAAAGCCGCCGCGGTTCATCGAACTTGAGAGACTGCCTTCGTGGGAGCGCGTTATGCGAATCGGCATCCGCTCTGAAGATTGAAGCGAGACAGCACAATGCAACCTGTTCAAGATGTTGCCACCCATGCTTCGTGGCCAATAGATTGAGGAGGCACTCGGCTCCGGGTAGCAGCAGCCGGAGTTTCCACAGGGTTGGGGCGGGCCTGGTGCCTAAGCCTAAGCACCTCAAACGCAACTGTCTTTGACGGGATTTGAGGGGAAGGAAGGCTGGGGGAGGGGGAGCTTGAGCATTCGTGAAAAGCAACGTACACTAGATGCTGCAATCGTGATTCAGAAAGAAGAAAAAGAAGAAAAAGAAAGATAGACAGACTCCAGAACTAGTTTTACTCGGAGGCACTTCTTATTAGTGAGGCTTGGAACAAAAAGATTGGCAGGCAGGGGTCTATCTTTGCAGGTTGGCAGGTAAGGCCTCGCAGTGAGGGCACTTGTCCTCGGTTGCGAGTGGCGCGCGCAGACACCGACGCGTTGCCTGCTTGCTCGCCAGAAGAAACACTAGGCCCTCTGAGCATGCCCCATCGGCTCGCCAATACACATTCATACAAACCAAATTGTGGCTAAGACGGGCTGAATGCATCGGACACTCTTGAATGATACCGGGCACAACACCTTCAACCACGCCGGCTGATGTTCTTACTCCCCCGACCCAGCCCATTCGCGTGCTAATGACCTTGGGGAGGATGTTCGACTCTAGCACATGCAGACAAGTGTGCCAGGAATCGGACGGGCAAGCTCACCTGCTTGTCCGCTTCATCACGCCAAAACCTCATTCGGCGAACAATGTTGGCGATATACAGGCGCCTCTGTGCCCAAGGGACTGGGCGTTTTGAGCAAGGGGTGCACCTCAAAGAGACCCTTCTCAGGATATCGCGACGAGCTGCCGAGGTTGCAAAGACGGATGTGCTTGCGACCCGGCATGTTGCGGATCAATGCGTGGTAACCTGCATCATCATTAGCGATCACCTACGGCAGCAACAGCGTCGGACCGAGATGGTGAACGTGGAATATTACCAAGCTCGTTGAGAAGGCGCTGAGCAAAGGTATTAAAAAGTATTATAAAGGGGGGCGTGTCTCAGTGAGTGGGTCTCCTCTTGGCTCCTGATCAAACCCGCTGTTCACTGAGGGGAAGGGTGAGTCGGTTGGTTTGGTGCTTGTACTTGGAGGGAGCTGATGTGGTATGCACGTAATCATCCAATGAACAGAAACGAAGATTCCGTTCTGGGAGTGTCAAAGGAAGCCCCGTTTAGGCTCGGAGAGAACCTGGCGGATCAACACGGGGTCGAGATGACTGGCAAGACCGGTGCCACTTTACTTTTCCCCCTCCACTATTACAAGATAGTAGCCAAGTGGTGCTACGATGACCAGCGAGGGCACTGATAGGGTGAGATCCTTGTACTTTCTTCCTGTGTGATTTGGAACGGCAAAGGAATCTAATACTTGGCACTTGGAGATGGATGAGACCCATGCCGAGAAAAAGTAACCTTGGGTGTGAATTGGTCTTGGGGGTGAGTTGATCTTGATGCATGGCAAACTGGAGAAGCGGAAAGGTCGCGAAAGACAACGCAGCTCACCAACAGGAGGAGGTGGCTCGTGCGCCGCTCTTCCCGCCTCGATCTGACTTTGAGGGCGATATCAATGTACGAAATACCTCAGGATCTCTCTCGGATTCCCTGAGCTCCCTGTGACAGTCTGTGTCCGTCTGTGTGCGTGTGTGCCATGGGGTTTGTGCCCCCAAAGAGGGCAAGAGTACGACCGCCATTTGAGGAGTGATCGAAACGCCGTCAAGGCGACAGGGTATCCAGTTTTGGATTTCTCGTCCGCAGTCAACCCTTGAGAGCAGGGACCGCAGATCCTTGATCGCGGCTTTACCGGAAAAGGACGTTTTAGCGTTTGTGAACCGGCCACGCTAACGGAGCCATACCGGAAGCCAGAACCATTGGAACACCACATCCCCACCACTAGAAGACGGCCGCGGTGCGGGAGGAGGAGGCCGCATCACAAAGCACCAATACGTTCTGCTAAGAGTTTCACGTTCGCGAAGAAGGGATTTTTCCTGGGTCTCTTTTTCTTTTTGGGGGTTTCTTTTTCTCAGCATCGCAAGGTTTCCACTGTCCCAAGGGAGGACGGTATGAGTCTGTACGAGAGTTATTCGGAGGGTAGTAGTGCAAGATTTGGCCGATCGAATCGATGTACTTGTGATTCTTGAAGGCGTGCCTGTGTGAGCGGAGACCTTGTGAGCAGCGATGACGCTCCCAGCAAGGCCTCGGCCTCGCTGGGTTCAGCGACACTTTGACGCGCCCAACGCGAGAGAGGAGGACTGATGAAAAACATTTAGGAAAAAGAAGGTCAAACGACAATGTCCACCAGGCGCCGTAATTCCGACCAACCAGGGAGGGGTGTGCCCAGGTGATGGTTCTGGAGAAACGGCCTGCCAGCCTCAAGCGGACTAACGATTGGGGGTGTGTTCCTAGTTGATAGTTCTGGAGAAACGGCCAGCCTCACACCCGAGGGAGAGGGCTTTCTGGATCGTTGCTGGAAGGAACCGAGCGGGTACGTGAAGACCTGACGTTGCATTGAGTTGCTGGAAGAGCCCTTTTCCCTCCCAGAGGCTGCTTGCCCTGTGCGGCAAGTGCAAGGTGACATGCTCGGCACCACATCAAGGGGGCAATATCTAGTGTACCTGTGGAACTTCGCTAGGGCACAAATCCA